CACATATTACCGGTGACACAGTTTTGCTAGTGTTATTCATCCCAGATTTTAAACAGTATTTGTCCTATTGTTCTTTATCAAAGACTGCCCAAATGTCATACCCCGACATGAGAACATTAGATAAAATCAAAGAAATCGTCTGCCGTTGTTCTAGTTCGTCAGTCTGTAAAAAAAGACGGTTGGGTATGGATGTATATTTGAGACGAACAGGAGAACTATAAAACTTGTGTGCATACTCAGTCGCGGTTCAAAGCGGTAATTCAATATCCAGCGGTTATCTGCTGTCATTCTTCTGAGGCGAAATATTGATCTCCGAGATAATTTCTACTAGAGGTCTTCGACACTGATTTTGGAGCCTTATTTGTCTGGCTGAACATATCTGTCCAAGGCGCTCGGTCACAAAAGATCAACGCGATGTACATCTTGTAAAGTATCTCATCTAGTCATTTTGGAAGTCTTAGCTCACTCACTTGTCAATATCGCAACCATCGTTTAAATATACACTCGACCATCTTCATTAACGACCACCATTACCTTGTGTAATCAGCGATGTTTTTGTTCACAACCACGCGAATTCTTATGTTCGTAAAAGCCTGATGGATAGCTCCCGAAAAGCTTAGAGTTGCCGAAATCGAGTTCGATCATTTGATTGGTGTAGGGACTACCTGAACACCGAAAAGCATATGGGCATTTATGTCCCAAAAAGGACAGTAGTGATCGGCACCCGACCGGCGATTATCGATTACTTGTGAAAGACACAACTTCCCTTTCAAAAATCGATTTTGTTAGAGCGTATAAATAAATCTCCGTCTCCATACCGGACATTCCTACGGCAGCTATTATTGCCCATTTCGGCTTCGACGACGACGACAGCAAAAATAACGGTAAGAGGTTTCTTTTATCCATGAAAAACTAATCACTTTGTTCATAGATGACAATTAATCCACGAATTATTACAAGAATGATTACTGATCATCCGATATGCTCTCATTACGTACTTGTCCTTCTACAAAACAACTCAGAAAATCGATTGGCCATTCAGATGCCTAAAACATCTCACTTCTTACGGTTTAATGATTCCTCCTAAAACTGAGGGACTTACGAATACGTTTCTCATATTACCTGGAATTTATTCAACACTGCTTCGAATTCCGCTGAACTCATGAACAGTTTACTCAGTACGATGAGTAATAAATCATCAGCGTGCTCAACTAATGTATTTTATGAAAATGAAGCACGACAACTGGTACTGTACGAGTGTGAAACAAAAAAGAAGTGGTTATTTTTAAGCTTTTTTCACTACTTTGCAGAAGCTGCCATACGAAAAGAAAGTGGACGCCAGTTCCAAACCTAAAGATTATCTGAGACCTATTGTGCTCCGAATAAGACCAGTTACAAAGATTATCAACTTTGGAATTGTATGTAGTCACTTCCATTTATATTATTTTCCTTCCCAGCTGTAATGGACTCCAAACGAAGTTAGTGAACCTATTGTTCATAGAGAATGTTACTGAGAAGCAGAAAACGGAGAATGAAACTAGAATAAATTTAGATGATGATGTTAACAACAACGCTGGCAGCTTTTCTGCACCAATAGACTATGTATATGGCCGAAAACTTGATGAATGTGCATACCTACATTTGCAACTTACCTTAAGCAGATCAAACTCAGAAGAATTATTTCAATGCAGCCTAATGAAATACTGGTAATCGTACCGAAAGAACAAGAACTGAGCCTAAAGAAATCAGTTGGTTTATACGAGTCGGTTCAATAGATTTTGGATTCAAGGTCGCTTAACTGAAAACGCGGTTCAGTTTGAAGTTGGGTTGCTTTGCTTTCGTCTGGTTGAAGGTTGTCCTTGATGTGAAAACCAGTCCTTCAGATAGCAGTTTACTAAGGTAATTTTGTTACCAAGTCCAAAAACACTGCATATTATTGCGAATAAATAACCAATAAATACGTGTTTAGTTGTAAGAGTAGCCAGATCCTTACATCAATCACAGCTTCCACTTCTTACTAAACTAACAGTAATAGGATATATAGGCAGGATAGGTCTTGATACTTTCAAGATTGATAAGGATCTACCTCTTCCGAGACACTCCCATTGTCACATATACATAACCACTGTCACAAATGTTCTACACTCTGCCCATCCAGCTGTCTCGGACTCCACTCTCAAATTCAGTAGTTTGTTTGGCTCATAAATGTTTAGCTTTCCATTATTACCAGTCTGTATATGGTTTGATAAATAAACAAGATGGAAATTTCACCATTGCAATCTCTGGATAGTTTGCTTCCCACCCCAAATTGTTTACTTAATACATCAGTTCTGTCCTGCCTCTCATATATTCTGCCTTTAGCCTAAGTAATCCAGAAATCCCCACAGCATATGAAATTAGCATTTGTCGTCGATAACAGTTAACCTAATTAACATCAAAATTCCAAACACATAGATACGTCAATCTGCTGACTGACAAGTTCTATTGTCTTTGGCATTTGGAAAATAAGTAAGTGTCAGTTAATGAATGTTCTCAACACAGCAGACGACAGTAAAAAGTAGGCGTAAACTGTGAAAACGGTTTATTAAAAAACGCAAGAGATATCATAAGTCCAGCGTTTCAGTAGACACTAACTCACTATGCACAACCCTTCTCACCATTAAGTGTATTCTAACTTGTAATAAATAACAGTCCTGGCAACGTATAATCCAAAGTGCTTTAAAACCATATACTGTAAGATGAGGTGAGGCTCATTAATGTCCGAAACATATCGTTGTGCCTTGGAAACCAAAAGAAATAGGTTACCAGTTAAAATTGTCACTGACATTATCATTTGTTCCTTAATAATGCTTGTTTAGTTGGTCTCATATCTTGTATAAAACCTTTTGTTGTGCCGTACAAAAGTTTACCAATCTCTTTTCGTTAAGAGTGAGGATATAACCTGAATGTTGGGGAATCTACAGAATAATTTGAACAGTTCACCGTTACTTATGCTTCTGTTAGATGAAAGTTTTCTAAGGCCCCTTCAATGGGTGATTCTATGCTGTAGATGTGCACCTGAATGTATTTGAGGCATCTTCGGGTTTCGTTTCACTAACGTGTTTATCTGGGATATCTGAAATGTAAATAAATTATCCAATAAGTAGGTGAACTTACGAATCTGTCGCTGATACCTCCTTGTAGAAGACAAGTTCCCAGAGAGTCCAACTCTTCCTTATTTGATAGAGAGAAAAAAACGAAACTTCAACAAATTGGAAGTACTTTTCACTATTGCTTAAAACGCGAGGTTGTTTAATAGCCTCGTAAGTTGTGTAAAATCTATAAACAAATATGAGAGTGCTACTACAGTTTTTTGCAAGAACTTTTATTAAGCTATGCAACTTGAGGAAACTGCTCACATAACTTAATCCGTCATTTGACTGCATGTTGTCGTTGATACAGAAGTCGACGAATGTACATATATCCTTGTTGAACTTGTTTATAAACCTTCTCCGCCAAATGAAACTTAGGATACTTGATGGTACTACATCCCACATAGCTCAGCCCCATAGCTAGGATCTTTGTAAACTAACTTACCCCCAGTCTACTCTTATACTGTACATCATTGCGTATCGATGTGGGTGATGGTCGGATAAATGTACATAATCTAACTACCCCTGTTTTTCATCCTTAACTGGTACGTTCTGTCTAACTTCTGTGTTACTCACTCCTCTGGGAGGCCTCGATTTTGATAACAAACGTAGATCCTCGCCTATGGAGATTGTGTTAGGATAAAAAGCTTGATGGTTAGGAGATCTTAATGAATTAGAAGCAGCGGCTACATCTGGTAACTGGTAGAAGCTAATTTAATAAGTGAGAGCAGTTGAGGGCAAGAAATGTAAGTGAAATTTCTGTGAAACTAATGGCATCCTAGCCATAACGTTTGCCAACGATGGACAAGGTTCTTTGAGTAACAATGTAATCAACTTGTTGCTCCAGCAACATTGATTGAACCGTCTTATCCAATCTGGCCGGTTGTGTCTGACCCACTCAACAAGGTGGAGGTCTACCAGAAACCCCAATTTTCGAAGCACTGCAAATCACTGGACCCAGACAGTTTAACTTCGCCTCTTTTAAGGGAAGGCAATGAACTTCTGATCAGAGAAATAGGTTGTTCATATGCTTCACGGCTTCTTCCTGGCCATATGGTTAACCTTACTAGCAGATATCACTGCTGTTTCCACAGCTTTTCGGATGTCATTCCAACGTGCATCCGGATGGGGATCACTTACATGGTCACCTAACTATTTTTCTAATTCTTTCTGAAATATATTCAAAGCCCTGCTATCATTAGGTCGAATCTTAAGACGTTTCCTTGATGTAACTTTCCTGCGTCCAGTAATTTGCAAACAAATACGCGCTCGCACTAGGGCATGATCTGAATCTAAACATGTGTCGCAGAACGAGCTACAGTCCTCTATCGAACCTCTCCATCGGTGGCTGATGACAGTGTGATCTAGTTGGATCCAATGTTGAGACGACTTTGGAGGTCGTCAGGTCAAAAGATGATTTTCCTTATGCTTAAAATTAGTGTTTTCTAGAAATAGGCGATTATCTGAGCATAGCTGCAGCAGATGGTCGCCATTATGTTGTCTGAGCCGCGACACCATAACATCCACCAAGGTGTCTTTCCTGGTCACTTAGTCTACCTACTTGAGCATTGAAGCCACCAGCCATTATAAGTATATCAGAAGGCTTAACTTTTTGGAGTAGGTCCGAAAGCTTTCTGTAAAACTCATCTTTTACATCGTCTGAACTGCAGTCAGTTGGGGGCATAGGGTGATATGACGAAGAGGCAATGACGAGCGTCCCTATCCTTCCGAATCCTTACTGTCCCGTTCAGTCGGACGGCGCACAAGCGACAATCTACTGGGATCCAGTCAAGGAGAGATAGTTCTGTCGTACGACTTAATGCTATACCTACACCAGCGAGACCCCTGGAAGCAGCATCAGGGATACCGGATATACGAAGGGTAAATCAAGTTGCTTCTTTATCTTGACATGGTGAGGTCAAGTGAATGATGCTACTCGGATCCTGTATGCACGTTTCCCATGACATTTAGCTTGATACTGTTTCACAACAACGGATTGAATGTCGATGAGGCTCGACATTTTTCTGAGCGTTATAGAGAAATTCCGAAATCTTGTTCATTGATTGGATTCAGTTTTCTGATCAGAATGACAGCGATTCAGTAAATAGATTGTATAGGCAGTTCGAACCGTTAGTTTATAAATTCCCTCCGGAACAGTCCCTTGTCAAGGTATTAACGTAGTGATGTACGATTACCCTTACGTTTGCTTATAAATTAAGAACATATTCATTATTAATTTAAACCCCTTCACCTAATTTAATATTTTTAATAGATAAACCGAAAAAATTTCACTTCCGGCACAACAACTTAATTAGCTAGATAAGAGGAAAACATGCGGTAAAATATTAGAGTTACGAAACTGAAAAGAATGTTCGGGTGACCTCAGATTATACTTGTTCTTAAATGCATCAACTAGCCTAGCATCGTACTAAAACAGGGTTTAGATTCAGGCACATTACTTATCAAAACTCTGTCAGCATTATTCGTTCGGTCGACATCAAGTGTAGCGGGGTCGCAGGAGTATTAGTGAATAAGGAATTCCACAAAGAGCTATAAAGTATATCAGATATTGTCATTTAGATGCAATCTACAATGCTTATACTTACCAATAAAGAATCTGCACATTTTGCAAAACATGATATTAGAGTGCTCTCATTTACTAAATATACTATTTGAAAAATTAGCTTACATCAGATATCTGTAAAACTATTCACTAATACTTCATTTTCCTACTGTATCACTAACATGCTAATAATAACATCTTTGAATTTGATATTTTATAGATGGATAATTTAATAGCCGATGTATCAGACATTGACTTCATTATTGAGAGCCAGCTAGAAAATCAGATTGGATTAGGATGTTTACCCTTCTCAAATATGAATAGTTAATTCATAATTAATTTAATGCAGTTGGTTTAGAGTCTGGTGCTGGTGTTTGTCGATTCTTTATTATTAATCAATGTCCCCTTAACAATTTATGTCCTTTGAGGCATATCAAAGCTGACAGGACAGTTGTATGCAAGCACTGGCTTCGTGGATTATGCAAAAAAGGTGATGACTGCGAGTTCTTACATGAATATGATATGACTAAAATGCCCGAATGTTACTTCTTCTCGAAATTCGGTAATTTGAACTTCAACCTATTTCATATTTTTGCTATGTAGGGGAGTGTATGAATAAAGAATGTCCATTTCTACATATTGATCCTGCTTCTAAGGTACAGGATTGTCCCTGGTATGATAGAGGGTTTTGCAGAAACGGTAATAGGATTCTTACCTTTAGAAATATATCTAGGTCCTTTATGTCGAAATCGACATGTTAGACGAGTGGCGTGCAAAAACTACATAAATGGTTTTTGCCCTAAGGGACGTGAATGTAAATATGCTCAGTAAGTAATACTCTATTTTTAAACGTTGTAGTCCTATATGGTGGCCCCTTCCAGGAAGTGACCAAGATACACAGAAAAGCCGTTGGATATGTCATTACTGCAGTAAGTCTCCTCTATACAATATATTGTGTTTTACATTTTAGATGAACGTGGGCATAAAATACAGTTTTGCCTTAAACTATCACCCGAGGAACGTCTTCGACTGCAGGAGCAGCAGCGTGTACAGAATATTAGCACTGGCGGTACAACATTACCTCAACAAGGTGTTAATCTTGGATCTCGTTTTGCTTCTGAACGTCTTAAGTTTGGTGGTCTCATGGGTACCCCACAGACAGCTCCTACTGGACCTCGACAAGGCCCACAAAAACCACTTGATGAAGTAACGTGTTTCAAATGTGGAGAGAAAGGTCATTATGCAAACAGATGCAACAAAGGCTATTTGGCTTTTCTCAGTAAGGTTTCACTACAACCTCATGAAATAGAAAGTGCTCGTGGCTAATATAAATATGAAGCTGGAAATCGGTGTATTATGAACTGTACAGATCTTATTTACATGTCTTATAAAGAATCAAGCTGAATTAATATAATCTAATTTTTAGCTTTTGACTGTGAAAACAGAAAATGAATATATATCAACTTAAGCCTAGAAGTACAACGCTGTAGACCTAGGTTTCGTAATTCTCAGTAAACATATCTGAAGTCATAAGAAAATAAAAGCTTCCTATATCATACCTCATTAAAGGATGCAAGCATTTCTATCAGAAAGTTGTAAATGTTAGTTTACCAGTCATTTTTCACGTAAATCAACTGACCAAACTTCCCGTCAACATGATAGTTTGTGTTGCTTATTATCCCAGGATATGAAAACAAAGATATTGTCATTGGCACAATTGAATTCCTCGAATTAAATATTTATTTTTCCAACATCTAACCTCCACAAACAAACTGAGATAAATCCGTTTAATTCAGTCCATTAGTAGTAGGTTTCTTAAATTAGTGACCCTCATAATACTTGTGTTCAGTTAATGATCGTGATATAGTTTGTGGAACTGGCAACTGTCGAACTATCATTAATACCCTAGTTGGGGTGATTTCAGACATAGCTCAAAATAGAAGCCAATGAAGATTTTGCTGTAGTTCTCGTACACATTCTTCATAAAATTTAGAGGAAATCCTTTAACTAAATGTATTTTTAACCAAACGATATCTCTTATTACATACTAGTTTTGTTCATTTGTTCGGTGATCATACTACCTATTCCTCCTTAATTTCTTTACAATATTATCATTTCATTTGTGTGATGCAGTTTTTTGGTCCGCTAGCATACCACTGTTAGAACGACAGTCTTATTATTGCTTAGATGGCCACTTTAAAAAAATCTATTGAGGTTAGTAAATGTGATATTTTGGAAACTGTTTCGACATTCGACTGTCCACATATCTATAATGCATGTGTTAGCTGATTACTATCTTTGATTCACCAGATGTACTAATCAGAACAAACGTAGGCTGTTTGGTCAAAGTAAATAAGACTTAGCATCAGACGTTTTCTAGTGTATATAATACGACTTTCAGATGAAATCCAGAACTTGTTTAATTTTCGCAATATCATAACGGTTCGATTTTATAACAGTTCTGAGAGAAAACCTGAAGATGGGATGTTTTGTGACTATTAACTATAAGGCTGAAAAGCCTCTTTGAAATTATATCCATTTTAACAACAATGAATGATTAGTTTTGTGCAACAAACACTGTCCATGCACTTCCATTAATGTTGATAACGTACTCTGCAAGTGGTGCTCGTTGGATATCGAATACTTAGTGACTTTAGTTATTTGCTTGTTTTATTCTAATGTACAACTACACGGTATAGTCGCTGAAAATTAAGAAATATTCAACTGTAGATATCCTTGTAATACTGTTTGCGTGTGGTGGGATTACTGAGTAAAAAATGTTAATGTTAAACACAGAACCCTAATTAAGAAATAATGGCTAATTAACTGGGTTTTGAACGTCCATTGACTAAGAAGAAAATCAGTTTGTACATCAACGGACTGACTGAGGTGGAAGAGGCCATGTGTCAGTTACGCTAGAACATGATATCAATAAAACTAAGTATTAATCTATGGTAAGGTTCCTGATAGTGCTCTAAAATGCTTACGAAATTAATGACTGACGATGGTATTAAACTATGAGATGTAGGTATATTGACTCATTATCTTCATTCTAGTTTTTCCTAATTTTGGTAATTATTCTCTTCCTAGTCTCCACAACCCTTTGATGACCATTCTCATGTGCTCACTAGCGACTAACTTCGTGAAAGATTACTCGGAGTTCTAGTAAGAAGCCGCAACTAATGGGGTGTGGGGCAGTTACCCATCAAAGGCAGTAGATGCGTTCGCACTGGAGACGGGAGGTCCGGGAGTCAAACCCCATTCGCAAGGTCGTGAAGGCGTTCTGCCGATGGTCTCACACTAGGACTAAACGGCCGTCTAGTGCTTCCAAGTTTTTAATGGTGGGCTAAGATTGATTGTCTCATAATTTCAGTGAAATTATTCTTTCGCAATCTTGAAATATGCGACAACTTGAGCAGATGTAGTGTGTTGTAAAAGAAGTAATCACTCAGAGCTAGTTTCAGAATAATATCTATGGCAATCATATGCGGTAATGTAAAAGTACATAGGAAGTCTACCTCAGTTTATCACTGAAATATAACAATTCATTTAGAAAACTAGTATTCAATTTCATATTTATATTGAATTATTTAGATATAGTCTCGCTGATTTAATTCTGTCGATGAATTCGCAGTGTGGCAAATCAATATAAGTCCTCCGACTCTTAATGAAGTTGAGAAAGCGAAAGGAGATCTGAAGCGAGGGAGAGCAGCAGGACCTGATAGATCGACCCCTGAGATATTTAAGGATGGCGGTCCAGTTTTAGCAGTTAGATTGACTGAGATCTTAGGTAGAATCTGGGCGTAATCCCATATGACTGGTCCCAATCACTGATTGTCCCACTCTATAAGAAAGGATAAAAGTCTTGTGACGATCACAGTGGGATCAGTTTAACTAATATGGTGCCTAAAATGTTGGCCTCGATAATACGCAGACGCCTAACTAGAGCTCGTGAAGAGCAGACCAGACAAAACCAGGCTAGTTTTCGACCTGGATGTATGGTCAGATATCCACACAACGAAAGGTCTTAGAACATAGGTACACTTTCAGACGTCCCACAATAGTAGTATTTCTTAACCTTGGAGCGGCATTCGACTCAGTCGATCGTGAGGTTCTGTGGCAGTCTGTCACTGAAAGGAGGACCGAAGAAGTACATTAACCTTATACAAGCTCTCTACTCAAACACTACAGATTAGGTTAGAGCTTATGGCGAACAGTCATCCGAATCGATTACTTCAAATAGCGCTCGTCAGGGATGTCCACACTGTCGTAGATATTCTTGTTGACTTAGTTCTACTTGAAGACGCTGAAAAAATGCAGTCTCGTCTAACCTAAGCAACAATGCAAGCTTGAGAACGCCAAATATTGCTTATATCGGCGCCTGAACTAGTGACCCGACCGAAGCTGCTACCTTGACGTGGTGGTCGAACTTGTCTATCGTGATGACCTAACCGAGCTATAGTGGCTGGAACATATGTTCCTGAAGGTTCTACCATGCCAGACAGGTCGATTGGAGAACGATGAGACTAAAAGCAGCTACTCAAGGTCTGAGGGCGAAGTCGTACTGCTGACTGTGATGGAGGGGTGTGCCAGCAGTAGGGTGTTTTTCTCGGACAACCAGCATCTGCAGCGATGCTGCCTTATCACAAGGAAGGAAGCGTTAGAAAAGGTCGACCCTAAAAATGTCACACCTCACGGATTTCCGTCTCCGGCGGTAAGGCCTTTTAAACAAGAACGGAGCTAACATTGCCCATGAAAATTCTGTGCGTGACCGGCCTTAAGCATTTGTCTCTTGGGCCCTGCGGTCACGCTTCCAGGTCGTTAAGACCAACTCTAATCCACCTTCCTTTTCAGGTTCCTCAAGAAACATCCTTCCATGGTGTGGGCAGCCGGGAAGTAACATCCACCATTATACTAATGAAAGCACACGGGACCAAATTAGTCACGATCAAATCCTTTCTACATCTCTCAAAAACTCTTATCTCCTCGACCAACCGTTCTTTCGATCGTTTATCACTTCACGCCAATAAAGCGAACAGTATGAGCTCACAAAACATTATTCCTAGTCTCTTGAAACCCCGTACTAAATTACACATTGGACCCTATGTCAAATAGGCTGGAATCTCGGGCGATCGATGTATGTCGCCTCTTTAAAACGCGCATACATGATCCGAGTAAAATCATCAATTTGATCTCACCTAGTGCAGATAGAGACACAAAAAGGTTTATGCTTAGTGTTTCACGTAGTCCTGATGCTGCTTCCCGTGGCCTGGCCGGCGTAGGTATCGTATCAAGTCCTGGGGCATAACTAGCTCTCCTAGACTGGATCCTGATAGACAATCGCTTATGCTCTGTCCGACTAAACGGGACGGTACGGACTTGGAAGGACAGGGACACTGGCCGTCGCCTCTTCGTCGTATCTGCCTACGCTTCCACTGACTGCAGTTCAGAAACCTCTCTAAACTTCTCCAAAAACGTTAGGCGCTCTGATATAGTAATAGTAACTGATTACTTCATTGCTCAAATAGGTGTTAGACTGGATGAAAAGGAAAGACACCTGGGTAGATCTTATGGTGTCGCGTCTTATAGAACTAATAATGGCGACCGTCTGCTGCAGCTAAACGCCTATTTCTAGCAAACACTGACTTTAGGCATACGGGAAGACACCTTTTGGCGTGGCGACCCCCAAAGTCGAGCTAACGATGGACTCAACTAGATCACATCGCCATAAACCATCGGTAGAGAGGCTCCGTTGAAGACTGCCGCTCATTCTGGAGCATTTGTTTAGACGCAGACCACGCTCTAGTGCGAGTGCGTATTTGTTTGTGCCTTACTGGACGCAAGAAAAATATCGCGAGGAAACCTGTTAGGGCTCTACCTAATGATTATCAAGCTAAAAAAATATTTCAGGAGGAACTAGAAAAACAGTTAGCCGACCATGTACTAAGTTATGCCCACCATGGAGTGATATCCAAAAGGCTGTTTAAACAGCTGTGATAAATTCTAGTAAGATAAACCATAAGGTTAGGGAGAAGCCGTGCATTTCAGTTGCATACACCGAACTGATAGATGCTCGTAACTCATCTCAGCACGGATACAGAAGGCTCGATCGACTTTTGCCAAGTTGCGTCACCTTTGGCGCAGGCGAGATATCCGTTTGCTAACCAAAGGTCGAGTGTACAGCGCAGCAGTTCGCTCCGTTCTCCTATACGGGTGTGAAACATGGCCGGTGAGAGTAGAGGGCATTCGTAGATTTCTTATCTTCGATCATAGGTGTCTCCGAAGCACTGCTCATATATCCTGAGACAACCGAGTGAGCAATGCTGTTATCAGGAAACGGGTGCTAGGTAAGAATGGCAGATCAATAGATGAAGTATTGAAATTCATCAGTTGAGGTGGTTGGGACATCTGTTACGTATGCCTAACCACCGACTGCCTCGACGAGCTATGTATTGTGGTGTAGGAGTGGGTTGGAAGAAAGCTAAGGGCGGCCAAACCAAAACATGGCACAAACCCATGAAATCACTGACAAGTGGACTCAGTCATGTTAGTAGATACAGGTTACCTGGTTTGGGTCAGCGAGTTGAAAGTCACCAGTGGTTAGAGACCTTGGCTCAAAATCGTTTTCAATGGCGCAGGCGCATCCACTGTTCGTGTTCTCTCAAATTCTGACCTGAATTCCTCATTATCTCTATCTTTCTCTTTCGAACTTTATCTCACTGAATTATACCCTAATCTTCTCCACTACTGCTAATACTTCTAATATCGCTATCACTCTTGGATTTGAACTGACAGTTGCGTCTCTGTGCTAATGCGGTATGGCAACTTGAACTGGTGTACTTACGTACAAAGTTCTATGTTGTTGTTGACTGATTGACTAGTCCTAAGTGGAAATCGAATTCTATTGACCAATTCGCGATGTAGAATCAATGGATGATTTAAATCCGTCACTTGTTACATAAATAGTAATAAAAAAACACAAGGAAGAAAATACAGCAAAATAAACAAAAGACCTATTTTAATAGCAATAATAGTAGCAGCAGTGTTTCACAGTCAATTAATACAAATACATACAACAAGGAACAGTTTGCAAAACGGCATCTGAATGGCCACAAACTAGAAGAGCATTAGAAATATCAAAAGAAATAACATTTCTAGCTGATGTTTCTTCCGGTAGAGCAGATGATACAGTTAATTTACGACGCGAACCTTTGAATCCAACCCACGAATCTTAAAATATAGATTACAGTTTTTTATGCAAAAGAATTGATAACATAAATAGTGTGAATGAACATAAATTAACTGGAATAATGTATGTTTTAAGGAGAGAAAATCTGAGCAAACCTTTAATCAACCTGTTTACATAAGAGCTTAATATTTTATGCTGACCTATCTGTCATCTTATGGATAAAAAACATCAAGTTATTAGAAAAGTTCGAAGTTATTCTATCGATATAAACTTCACTTAATGGGAGCTAGTTTCAACAATGAGATTTATTTTACGTTTGCCGATAGTATTCAGTTTGATATCATAGAATGGGACTGGAATCAGAGACGGAATGAATAGATAACTCTGTCTGTGATATATTTTTCAAATCTAAATACTTCGTTTGTATAACATGTAACAATGAACGGGTATTACTGAATTTGAATGATTTTCAACATTTTATTACTACAATCACGGTGTTTGCAAATTCAAATTATCACAATTCTTTCTTGCCCTGGCATGTGCAACATAGAACTTGATAAGTATGTGGATCGGTCCAAGTCGCCCTACTATATTGGCGCACCGGGATAAAGTTATTAAGACAAATCCCTGAGTAGTTACAGTATCAGCAGTAATATAAAAGGTTAAGGATTTCTAGACTCAGGTTCTAAGGTAAGACAGTGATGAATACACTAATACCAATCTGCAGCATCGCTGCAGATGCTGGTTGTCCGAGAAAAACACCCTACTGCTGGCACACCCCTCCATCACAGTCAGCAGTACGACTTCGCCCTCAGACCTTGAGTAGCTGCTTTTAGTCTCATCGTTCTCTAATCGACCTGTCTGGCATGGTAGAACCTTCAGGAACATATGTTCCAGCCAATATAGCTCGGTTAGGTCATCACGATAGACAAGTTCGACCACCACGTCAAGGTAGCAGCTCCGGTCGGGATAAGTTGACATCAACCAAAATCCAAGACTCGTTATCCTATATCCTGTTAGTTCATCAGTAAATTAGTCTCGCCATATATTTTACTCATCCCCAAGCACTTTTTAAATGAAAAAGTAGAAACTGTCGAACCGGGATCTTACTTAAAAAGTGGTGGCTCAGAATTGTTCATGCTACAGTTTAGTTCCGAGAGGTCTGAGGGCGAAGTCGTACTGCTGACTGTGATGGAGGGGTGTGCCAGCAGTAGGGTGTTTTTCTCGGACAACCAGCATCTGCAGCGATGCTGCCTTATCACAAGGAAGGAAGCGTTAGAAAAGGTCGACCCTAAAAATGTCACACCTCACGGATTTCCGTCTCCGGCGGTAAGGCCTTTTAAACAAGAACGGAGCTAACATTGCCCATGAAAATTCTGTGCGTGACCGGCCTTAAGCATTTGTCTCTTGGGCCCTGCGGTCACGCTTCCAGGTCGTTAAGACCAACTCTAATCCACCTTCCTTTTCAGGTTCCTCAAGAAACATCCTTCCATGGTGTGGACAGCCGGGAAGTGGCAAGAGACCTCATACCCGTAAGAGCACACGAGACCAAATTGGTCAAAATCAAATCCTTACTACACGCTTTACTATCGCTCATATCTCCACGACTAACTCTACTCACATTCGTTTGTCGATGCGAGTTCACGAAAGTTATTCCTGGAATCCTGAAACTCCATTGTAGACTACATGTTGGAGCTTTTAATGCACAGACACTGTGTCAAATAGGGCGACAGGCTTCCTTAGCTAGGACATAAGAATCTCGCACCATCATTGTATGCTGCGTCTCGGAAACACGCATGCAAGATCCTGATAAAGTCATTAATTTGATTTCACTTTGTCAACATAAAGAAGCAGCTCGGTTTACTCATCGTGTATCCGGTATCCCTGATGCTGCTTCCCGAGGTCTCGCTGGTGTAGGCATAGCAATGAGTCGGGTAGAACTATCTCTACTAGACTGGATCCCAGTAGATAGTCGCTTGTTCTCGGACCTCCTCCTCCAAAACGTTAGGTGCTCTGATATTGTTTTAATGGCTGGTGACTTTAATGCTCAAGTAGGCAGAAAAAAATGAAAATGAAAGACACCTAGGTGGATGTTATGGTGTTGCAACTGATAGAACAGATAATGGCGACCGTCAGTTGCAACTATACTCAGAAAACCGCATATTTCTAGCAAACACTAACTTTATGCATAAGGAAAAACACCTTTTGACATGGCGACCCCGAAAGTCGTCTCGACGTTGGACGCAACTAGATCATATCGCAATCAGCCACCGATGGAGGACTGCCGCTCGTTCTGCGGCACATGTTTGGATTCACATCATGCCCTAGTGCGAGCGCGTATTTGCTTGAGGCCTACTGGACGTAGGAAAGGCACATCAAGGAAACCTCTTAGGGTTCTACTTAATGATAATAAAGCTATAGATATATTTCAAGAACAACAAACATGTACTAAGCGATGCCCACCCTGAGACACCTTGAAATAATATCAAAAAGGCTGTGGAAACGGCAGTGATATCTGCTAGTAAGGTTAATCATAAGTCTAGGAAGAAGCCGTGGATCTCAGTAGCATCTACCGAACTGATGAATGCTCGAAAACACATACCGCCTGGCATTGAGTGCGATGAGGTACGGAGTCAGCTTAAGCTCAGGCTGATAAAAAGCCTAAACAATGATCGAGAACAGCGGGTGGCGAAAGCGACAGATAAGAATAAGGCAGCGGCGATAGTCCACAATAGGCAACTATTGAGACTTATCAAGGAAACTAGTATTAGGAACCCGAATGTGATTGAGATTATCTCGGAAAATGATGGTCTTATTATCCATTCTCAATCCAGGAGACTGAACCAATGGGCAGAAATCTTCAGGGATCAGTTTAACTGGCCTTCAACCACACTTGGGTTACTCATAACCTCCAGTCATCCTGAATGGCCAATCGATTTAATTTCTCCCAGTCTACATGAAGTTGAGAAAGCTATAGGAAATCTAAAGCGAGGGCGAGCAGCGGGCCCTGATAGATTGACTCCTAAGATATTTAAGGATGGTGCTCCAGTTTTAGAAGCTAGGTTGACAGAGATCGTAGGTAGGTGGGAACTGGACACAATCCCATCTGACTGGTCTCAGTCGCTAATTGTCCCGATCTACAGGAAAGGACAAAAGTCCTCTTGTGACAATCACAGGGGAATAAGTCTAACAAATATAGTTTCTAAATTATTAGCCTTGATTATACTTAGACGCCCAACTAAAGCTCGTGAAGAGCAGATTAGAAAAAACCAGGCTGGTTTCAAACCTGGACGTGGATGCATAGACCACATCTTCACACTACGACAGATCATGGAACATAGATACACATTTAGGCTTCCAACAACAGTTGTCTTCCTAGACCTTAAAGCTGCATTTGACTCTGTGGATCGTGAGCTTCTGTGGCAGTGTCTGTCATTGAAAGGTGTACCAAAGAAGTAAATTAACCTTATACCACCTCTCTACTCGAACAACACTGGTCGAGTGAGAGCCTGTGACGAACTGTCATCGGAATTCTCTACTTCTAATGGTGTCCGTCGGGGAAGTCCACTCTCTCCATTCTTGTTTAATTTTATCATAGACATGCTCCCTAGATATAAACTAATCCTCATCTGAATTTTCAGTAGTGGACTTTCTACCACGAAAATTGCTTATTGACTTAGAATATGCCGATGACATAGTTCTATTCGGTGAAGACGCTGACAAAATGCAGTCTTCTGACCACCCTAAGCAACAATGCAAGCATGTTCGGGATGCGGTTCTCCCACTCGAAATGCAAAATGTTGCTTCAAGACTGGGTTGCATCAGCATCTAAACTAGTGACAGGGAGTGCAGTAATTGGGCTTGTTTACCGCTTCACGTATCTCGGGAGTCTCATCAGTGCTGATGGCCTGGTGACTGACGAAATATCAGCACGGATACAGAAGGCTCGATCGACTTGCGTCACTTATGGCACAGGAGAGGTATCCGTTTGCTGACTAATTGACGAGTGTACTGTGCAGTAGTTCACTCGGTCCTACTTTATGGCTGTGAAACATGGCCAGTGAGACTAGAAGATATTCGTAGGTTACTTGTTTTCGATTATAGGTGTCTTCGAAGCATTGCTCATATATCCTGGGACAAACGAGTGAGCAATGCTGTTATCAGGAAACGGGTGCTAGGTAAGGTTGGCAGATCAATTGATAAAGTAGTGAAACTTTATCAGTTGAGGTGGTTGGGACATCTGTTACGTATGCCTAACCGCTGACTACCTCGTCGAGCTATGTTTTGTGGTGTAGGAGTAGGTTGGATGAAAGCTAGGGGCGGCCAGACCAAAACATGGCACACATCCATGAAGTCACTGACGAGTGAACTGAGTCATGTTGGTGGTAGGTGTCGACTACCTGGTTGGGGTCCGCGACATGCTAGTAACCGATGGTCAGAAACCTTGAATGACATGGCTCAGAATCGTTTGCAATGGTGTATATGCATTCATTCATCACTTTATCTTTATAAGTCTATTTCATTAGTTTCTACTTCTTGAATAATATATTTTAATCCTAACCTCTCCGACTTTTGCAAATACCTTTAATACCTCTACTACTATTGGATTTGAATTGACAATTACATATCTGTGCTAATGTGGTATGGCAACATGAACTGATGTACGTACGTACGAAGTTCTACGCTGATATTGATTGATTGATGTCAACTTATTAATTGGTAGTGATGGATTGAAATCGGGATTTAGAGGTTAAGGTTAGCATCTTCATCGTAATCCTCTTTTAACCCTGGTAAGTTGGCGAGTTTCTTTAGTCACTCTGGGATTGCTTTCAGGTAGTCCATCAATCATAATCGCACGAAATATTTTCCGTTAACTAAATAGATTTTACAAAGCCTCACATTCTTTCATATGATGCGCATAGTCTTTACTTCATGTGACGTGTGTTGACCGACTGACTCAAACACTACTTCGCTATCTATAGTCAAATTGGATGATCAAGTTATGAAAACAAGAATATCAGTCTACTTAGAAATTGTATCATTACCTTCGATTTCACTTGATGAGGAAGTAAATTTTTAAATGATATTCACCGGCAAAACTTGAAGTTATCATGTTATTTCTGAAAAAATTTCAAAGTTGACAACCTTTTCATTTGTAATTATCTGTGAATTTCAGTCTAATTTTTATTGAGTCAGTCAAAATTTTACTGTCAATAAATGAAAAGCTAACAGTTCGCAGTATAAGTAAAGCTGTTAAAAACAATCTAATAGAAAAAGCAAAAAAACACCTGACTAACCTGATTCATCACTACTAATTTGTAATAAACCAGCTGTTTCCGTGGCCATATATAAATGTTTCGGTTGACGTGGATGAAAAGCAGTTTCCCAAATAGTTTGACCGTCACAGGCTACTTCACTTAGTGGATATTGTTCAGCTCGTAAATCCCATATATAAGCAGCTGCACTAGAAGAATTAACCCCACCTACAGATAAAAGATGAGGTTGTCCAGGATGTTGACTCAGACATAATAAAGGTTGAGTTTCTCCAGGGCTTTAAATAAAAATCAAAAAAAAATAAGGTGAATAGGCTCAGTAGAATTCTGTAGAATATTCAATAAAAAAAAGAAACTTTAAAAGTCCCCTGTCATATTAAAACACTAATGTATGAACAAAGAACATAATCTTTAGGTTCCGCAATTATATATCCAAAAAGTGGCCAAGCTCAAGATGAAATACATCGTTTTAAATTATAGTATGTGAACTTGTGATTGTAAAATAAAATTACATTCCTTAATTTAAAACGATATATTTCTCAATAAACCTGAACAGTATTTTTGAGTTTGTAAATTAGAATATTATAATTGTAAAATATGAATCTACATTATTGAGAAAAATTGAATCAAACAGAAATATTGAATGAATGCATATTATTAATGTAAGTAATAATATAATAAACGTAACTGAAGAATTTTGAAATATTTCGACATCTTCACTAAATGGACATTGGTATGATTATAAAATGTTTGAGAGTTTTCTAAGCGAAACATCGATTCTTGAGAATTATTAGGGAGTTTTGAATGCAGAAAAAGTTAACAAGGTTAATGAAAAATAGGGATACAGATGTACTGGTTTTGAGTTATTTTTTAATAATAGATTGCCCACTGATAGAGTCAAAAATGCCTTGGGGCAAAAAAATACGGTTAAACTTGGATGCCAATAAGTTTGCTGACGTCTTCAAATCTGAAGAGATAATTTTCAAAAGATGTAGTTTTGAGAAGATTTAAATCTTGTTTAGCTTTTCTACAGGCTTTTTAATTCGTATCTCAGCTAAATACTGGAGGATTTCAGAGGTTAGAATCCTAGAAACCATGTTTGTAAATCGGAATCTATTAAGGTTGTTATTAAATGAGAGTTATAATTTGTTGCAGACTCGGATGACTATTAGTGGAGAAAAACACATACAAAAAGAATAATGTCTGGTCACTAAAATTTAAAGAATTAATTTAATACAACTTGTACTCCTAGATCACCTATCTAAACAAACCCTAAATGAGTCTTTATTTAGGTGAAAAATATGCAGATACTCCTTTCTGATGAGTAGTAAAAAACCCAGGTTCAGGATTAAAAACTGACTCTTGCCAACCAAAGAACATCAAAATATAGCACATAAGATGTAGAGTCACTTAGAGTAGTAGCTATACTGCAACTAGACCGACAGATTTCGACTAGTACTACGGACCAAACATAAACATGACATATAGTACAAACTAGCCACCAGTCGATAAACTTTTTGATCCTTAATCTACTGAACAAAAGAACTGTTTTTTTAAGATACTTCAATGAAATCGAAGATGAGCTAACCAACGTATCAACCAACCAATGTTAGAGAATAGTATAATCTAATAAATAAATACAGTAAAGAATAAAAACAACACACTAACAAAAGAGAATTTAACCAAATGAATTGTTGAAAAAGAACAAAAATCACTCTAAGACATAAATTACCGTAACAATCTACGTTGTGGTTTATGTAAACCAGTACGTAAATCCCATAGTTTCAATTGACCTAATTGATTGACACTAGCCAAAGTAGAATTGTCAACACGTTCAAGTGCATTCACTGTAGTTATATCTGCTCCTGATGTTAGTATCGCATCTAATTTATTTTATTGATTGTTTTATAAAAGATATAAAATAAAAAATAGTTGGAGAAGAAATTAATAAAACAGGATAAAGTCAACGTATTAATTTTATCAATAATATTTAATATACTTGTCTTTATGTCAGAAGTCCACAAAAATCCCTTGAAAAACTTTGGAAGTCCCGATTAGGGTGAAAACGTTCCAATTAATTAGCACAGAATAAAAGCTGTTCAAAAACATTTATAAAAATGTAGGATTACGTGTCACGTTTTGACTGTATAGTGTACTTACTTTGTTATCACAAATTCCTAGACGATCACAATTATCCGAAAACTGACACATTAACTGAATTTTATATAAACAGATTAATTAAACTTGGAGTAAAACTTTTACTGATATTGAGTCCTTTTTCTTTACTGCTCAAGTTCGTGGAGTACTAGTAGTCTGATGATGATGTTGAAAGCGATTAAGAAGTTTGTAATCAGTATTCAATTAGAACATTTACCACCTTGTTATTAGTTAACTGGATTTACATAATATCTACAGTTGAGTTGTAGTTAGTAATGAGACTTAAAATTTCTAAAGTCTAATGTCTATTTAATAAAATCAACTAGTTCTGAAGTAGAGATTGATGGTAGTTATCAAAAAGTAAAAATAATTTTTATTTTTATTTTTACTCGAAAACAGAAATGTGTAAAATCACTCTAGATGAACTTAAGTTTGTCATATACTACTTATACACCCGAAAAAGTAATATATTATGCTTTACATCATGAAATTGATATATATATATATATATATATATATATATATATATATATATATATATATATATATATAAGCATCCATTCTAATCCGTAATTATCATCATTCTTTAAAAAATTTCAAATTCAGTAGAGTGTAATGATTAATAATAATAACAGGTAGTTTACAACAATCTACAGCCTTGATGCGGATGCTTTAATTATTTATGTTAACCTAGATCTTAGGTTTTGACCTACTTCATAGTTTTCATTGCTTATTCATTTCATCTTTTTAGATCATATTCATTGTGTTTACTCGATGCAAATCACACATATTACTACTAAATTTTATGACAAATTATTCATGTACTTGTAAATGAAGAAATAAATCATTCATTGGAGAGTAGTAAATTGTTTGACAGAAAAAAATTGCAGCGAAATTGAAATCAAGATTGTTTTTTTTAACAGAGCATTTATAAATAAATAGAAAGGTTGTTCTAAAAAAAAAACAATGAAAGATGACCTAATTACACATGAATAACAAAAATTTATTCAAAATATATGATAATAAGACGTGAAAGTAGGAGGTTCAGAGTGAATTCACCAAATTGTGCTAAAAATAAAATATGAAGGTTAACCACTGACTTTTTCTTGATAGAAACATCGAGTTCTAGCCTTTACGAATCTCACTATAGTGTAATTGTATTGTTTAGTTAATAACTGATGAGCAAATGCTTATTTTGCCCACTTCATGTCTTGTTGATAGTTCACAGGAACTTGTTTGTTCTTCAAAATGTTCATCTATGATAATAACGACTGATGAAAATGTAAAGCCAGCAAAAAACCACCAAAAGAATTTGATATTTTTACACTTGAAAATATCTTTTAATTATTTAATCAATCCTAATAATATTATTATCCATAAATTAAACTTTTATGAAAAAAAAACATATGCATTATAAAAAGTTAATGAAAATTTAAAACTTACATATTACATTAAATTAGAAATAATAATAATTATTATTGAAATTAATAAATACCTAAATTACCATTATGATATTTGTTATAGTCAGTTTTCTGTGAATTAGGAATACGATTGATTTGAACAACAGCTAATTGACCAAGTTCATTACTCACATAAACATGTACACCATCAGTACTGAGAGCTAAACTAGATAAAGCTGATGGAATATTACCACATAAAATATATTCTCCAAAAGGCATCCAATTCGTTGCAGACAATCGAATAAGGTATGGTTGAATATGAGAAACTTGAAACAATTGTAAACTACCATTAGAACTAGCGGAGAAAATAATTCTATTTGAATGATGAACCTTAAAATAAATAATAAAACAGGTTATTATCAATTAGTATTTTTCAATGTAATTGATAATTATGCGATGAATAATATTGATAAAATACAACTTTGATTAGTGAATAGAATTTATTCCAGTTTTTATAATCATTAATATTATATTTTAATACATCTATCTGTAAGAAGTAAGAAATGCACAAGGTGTAAAACTGAGGTGCTGTGAAGAAAAAAAAGTGACCTTTCTGTGAAGTGAATTTACCAACAACCACTTGTTTTTACTAGAAATGTAGATGTACTATTACGACAAGTTAAACTGAACATCAAAACGTGTTGATATTTACCAAAATATACATAACGATAATCTTAAAGTGGTTTTGATCAGAATAAATTACACATAGATAGATGAGTAAATGTAGTATTTTCTCGTACATTGTTGAATACCGTATACTTTGACGTAAAATAGTCATAATATACAATAAGTTTAGGAGAAATAGTAATTCTTGTAACGCTTTTGATTAACAACATTCTAAACATATATGACAACTCTAGTAGGAATAGTCAAAGAAATCAAGAAGATAGAAAACGTTAAAATTTTTAACAAATTTCTTGAAATTTAAATAAAATACTATATATATATATATATATATATATATATATATATATATATATATATATATCGCTGTTATAAACCTTAATTAATAATAAAACTATGATCTTACACTTAAAATTGAACATTGAGTGACTTGTATACATGATAATAAATAATAATATAGTCGTAAATAATTCAATTACTTGAAATATTTCAACAATATCGCATCCAATAAATCATGAAAAATAACGCTTAGTTGAGTTAAAGGAAGCTAGAAATGTTACATCGGAAACCAAATTTATAAACAACTAATTTGAAACAGATATCCAGATATGATTTACCATTAAACGAGTTTCACACTACAAAGCTTTTTAACAGTTGCTACTAGCATAAAAGTTATGTTTTCTTACTTACGTATTTACGCCTGTAACCCCTAATGGAGCATAGGCTGCCAACCAATATTCTCCAACCTACTCTGCCCTGGGCTACCCTTTCCACTTCTGTCCAATTTTTGTTCATTATTCTCATATCTTTCTCTATTTCTCGGCCTTCCTATTTTCCTTTGATATTGAGGGTTCCATGTGAGGGCTTCTACCACTTCTTCCTGATTTCCTCCTCCACTGGATGCTGGTTTGTTCTCTCCCACAGTAAGTTGTTGCTAGTGTCTGACCAACGAATCCGAAGTATTTTGCGTATACAACTGTTGATGAATACTTGTATCTTCTAAATGATGGCTTTGGTGGTTTTCCAAGTTTCCGCCCCATACAGTAGAACTGTCTTGACAATTGTATTGAAAATTCTGGCTTTAGTGTTGACTGATAGTTGTTTGGATTTCCAGATGTTTTTCAATTGTCGATCAATTGCCGATCCGCGCCTTCATATTCGCGTCAGAACCACCTTTATTGATAATGATGCTGCCCAGATATGTAAAGGTGTCAACGTCCTCAAAGACATCTCCGTCTACAGTGATTGGCACATGTTGTGTTGTATCGGAGAATCTTGCTTTTACCTTTATGTATGTTGAGACCTGCTGCTGCTGAGGCTGATGCTACAGTAGATTTCTTCTCTTGCATTTGTTATTGTGTGTGTGCGATAGAAGAGTCACATCATTTGCGAAGTCCAGATCATCCAGTTGCATCCTGGATGTTCACTGTATGCCATGTTTCCCTCCAGCTGTTGACGTCTTCATAGTCCAGTCGATCACCAGGGGAAGGAGAAAGGTTGAGAGTAAGCAACCTTGCCTGATACCAGTCTTTACCTCGGAGTTTGTCAGCTTTCCTCCATGCACGATTTTGCAGTTTAATCCATCGTAAGAATTCCGTATGATGTTAACTATCTTCTCACAATGATTCGTATTGTCTCGGTTTCGTCGATACATCATCGACTATTAAGGAATCCAGTCTGTTGATCTCGAAGTTGGACGTCTACGAAGTCCTTGGTTCTGTTTAACAATACCCTGTTGAAGACTTTGCCTGGTACTGAAAGAGGACTGATGATGATGATGATGTAGTTCTCACACTTTTTGAGATCACCTTTCTTTGGTATTTTCATCAGGTATCCTCCTTTCCAGTCTGTTATGATTTTGAAGAGAATGTAGAATATTTTTGCAGTTGTTGCCACGTTTGCTTTCATTGCCTCTGCTGAAATGTTGTCTGGTCCTGCTGCTTTGCCGCTCTTGATTTGTCTGATGGCCATTCTGATCTCTCCAATTGTTGGCGGGCCAACATTGATTGGGTGATCAGTGGATGCTGCCTCAATGTTGGGTGGGTTTAGTGGGACTGGCCGATTCAAGAGTACTATAAATTGCTCAACCCACCTATTTCGCTGTTCGTCAATGTTTTTGTTTACTTTGCCTTCCTTGATTTTCACTGGTCACTCTGGTTTATGAAAATTTCCAACGAGCTTCCTTGTTGTGTTGTACAACTGTCTCAAATTTCCTTCTCTTGCGGCCTTTTGCGTCGTCATTGCTAGATCTACTTAAACGAATTAGTTAAATCTTTAAAGTCTGGATATATCACTCATTTTTTAGAATAGTCCTCTCTACTTAACAATTTTAGAGCGTGGATAAATGCAGACGAGTTTTTTCTGGAAAGTGTCCTTTTAATAAGGTTGGGATGGGATTGTTAACTTTACGCCAAACTCTCCTCCTCTATGAGGTCTTTAGACCAGAAATAACTTTTTAAGAAAATGTAAGCACCTGAATTTCGGGAAAATAAACTACTTCATTAGTATTAAAAATACTCTCAGAAGCAATTGTAATGGAAAGTGATGTTATGAGTAGGAAAACATGCATTGACTGTAGTAGAAACACAATTCAAAAGTGAAATTTTAGAGATCGAAATTCGAATATATAAAAGCCACTACAAATAATAAGACGACAACTTGATCAATAAAATTTGGATAGTAAAGAGCATTAAATAACCAGCATTGATTACTTGTTAGTGACACTAGGTAATGAAGTTTTGAAACGCTCTATATATGTATATACGTATATATATATATATATATATATATATATATATATATATACGTATATTTGTATATACATAACGAACCTTAATATCTTGAACAGAGCCTGAATGAACAAGAGAGCATAACAGACGTGGATCATCAGCCGTATCACCGAGTACACCAGCAGTAGTACAATCTTCATTCTCCGATATTGGTTTGATTGATTCATCATGATTGTCGATAGACGGATCAATATTATACTGCCATAAACAAACACGATTCACCTACAACACAATGTTAAATGATACAAATAATTATTAAATGTTCAATTTCGGCTTCCAATATTAAGATAAAAAGTGAAAACAAAGATTTTTGACACAAATTATTTTGAATTTTGAACGGGAATAGATGTGAAATGATTGAATTCTGATCAAATAAAATATAAAAAGCTGGAATATTATTTACAGTATATATTTTAATGTGAAACAATAAAATGAATAATACAATGAACTAATTCATTCTTTAAAGTTTATTTATTTACTATATGACTGTTTTAATAATATTAGTAACTGAGGGATAGTTGTGGGATTTGTCAACATGTAATATCGGTTGGATGCTTTTAATTCTAAACAAAATTTTGATAAAAACTTCTAAAAAATTGATAGCACGAAAAAATGACTTTATCCTACTGTTCATGAATTTATCTAGTTTTTCGTCAATTTACTGATAAAAATCAGTTTCAAAATATTTTTGTAGTCTTTAATTTATGGTAAACTCGAATATCTGCTAAACTTTATGCATGTTGGATGCACAAAGTTTTCTAGTCGAATAAGATGCTTTACTTTACACCGATTGGTCATTAACTGGTAATCACCAGCGTTGTGTTTATGTTTCTTAGTTCTAAATATACTCTATCTATCAAAGACTAAGTGGTAGCGTCTCAGAATGTGAAGCTGGGTGACGTGGGTTGAAATCCCTATTCTTATTATCACTATTATTTCCCTCAAGACTATAGGTACGCTTTGTTGGTGAGTGCCAAACAGCATGACACCTACCTATAAAGTTTCCTGTTGACTATCTCTCACGATCTAATATCTCATTTAGACTGTCAATCACAATGCAATTAAATCGATAGAATACGATCATAACTAAAAGAATAGGCAAACATGAAATTTGCCATGACCCAGTGATCAGTCAAATATAATTATAGCACTCCGAAAGGTGGTCAGTTGTTGCCTAATAGTCCGGTGATTTTATCCAACTAAATTGGATCAATTCGCTTACTTTATGATAATATATCAGGAAATAAATAACCAAATAATTTGGCAGTGATAAAAGGTAAATTAAATTATTACCTCTTCCAGCCAACTGCCAGTTACAATTAATTCTTGATGTTGTATCTCTGGTTCAGTGACAAAGCGAACACGAGATAACTTAAATGAAATACATTTAACGCTTGAACGGTTAGGACGTTGAACCATTTTGAATCTGTCACTATGAATCAGAAGTAACTTTAAAGCTTTTTAATACGATGACTAGTGTTGATCGAATTCTATAAGAAAACAAAGAAATAACGAACAGAACACTGTGAAGTAAATAATTTGAAGATTTCGAAGTTGAAATACACAACGAATTAACGGCTTATTAAATCACTGAACAGTAATGACACTTTTTATTAACCAATGAGCGTCAGCAATCAAGATTCAGAGATTTAAATCGTCGAAAATTTATTATACATTTGCAAACAAATAACAGTGAATAAAATAAGTCTTACTAGTTGTTCACGTGTAATTCTTTAGTAGTAAGTAAGAATCAATTCAGTGTTGAAGTTAAAATAAGAAAGCAGCTTAAAAAGAAAATTATGAAATCTAAAATGCTTTCAATAAACCTTTAAGAAACATGTGTGAAGCTTCTTATCTTCATCGATTTGAATTAGTTTATTGGATCGAATCCTCATATTAAAATTATAAACATCGTGATAAACAAATAAACAAGTCTAGATTCATGAGATAAAATCTCTCATAAATGCTGAACAAACTAATTACAAACCATAGAGATATTGTACTGAGTGAAAATTACTATTTTCTAGTCTTTTGGGGCACAGTTTTGGAGGTTTGCGATTTTTTACCCATTTGAAATCATCAATCAATCATTGTGGTCTAACAATGATTGATTGATGATTTCAAATGGGTAAAAAATCGCAAACCTCCAAAACTGTGCCCCAAAATATCGTAACAGTGCTCACTAGTGACTAGCTTCGTGAGGAAATTCTCGGAGTTCTAGTTGAGAAGATGTGACCAATGGAGTTCAACCCTGTGGAGTGTAGGCAGTAACTACCGAAGACAAATGGGTAAGGTCGCGCAAAACTCCCTAGATCAATCAGAGTTAGACATTAACACCGTTGGATGCCGGCCCAGTGGTCCGATGGTAAGGCGTTCGCCTACAATGCCTAAGGTCCCGGGTTCGAATCCTGCGGGGCGCAGGAGTCGTGGATGCGCACTGCCGATGGGTCCCATACCAGGACGAAACGGCCGTCCAGTGCTTCCAGGTTTCTAATGGTGGTCTAACAATGATTTATTGATGATTTCAAGTATTTTCTAGTCGATAATTGACCAAAAATTATCTAGCCTTGTAAAAAACTGTGAATAATGAAAGTCAGTGAAGGGTTACAAGACTGGATGATAGACTCCAATATAAAAAAATTACTGATTAATCAAATATTATACAAATGACTAGCCAGTAAGTATAGTGACTGATATTGAATTAGTCAGTGAAGACCAGATTTACCATTGCTATAGATTTGACCATTAAATTAAACATGATGAAATATTCTATGCTTAAAAATAAAGCAAACATCATGGAATATCGATTCCCAGCAATCAATTAACATTTACAGATCGGTATACTTAGTTTTGAGTTATAACTTAAGTGTACAAGGTTCATGGTACTAATCGGTCACCCAAATAGAAATAGATATGATGAATCTTAAACACTCAAGAGCTACTACTACGACTACTGTTAATGAATGTGGAAGGGGTAAATACTTTTTCCTAACAGCTTAAATTGTACATTGAACGTATAAAATTGTAATTTTGTAAATATTCAGTGACAAAAATAAAATGACCAAAATACATGTGTATCACAATTCTAATGATCAAAAAGTAATTAAACGAAAAAACAATAAATTTATTCAATAAATGAATTTATATGGAAAGATATCTAAAAACTTTTTTAACAATATTTTCACATGAAAATAATAACACGAATTCATCAATGTACAGATGTTGAACATAAAAAATCTACAAAAATAATAATAATTTGTTCAGTTTATGCCTCATTATCACTATGTTCCATTGATTTATCATCTTGGTCTGATGATGATGATGTATCAAGTTGTACATGATTATTATTATTATTATTATTATTATTATTATTATTAATATCATTAACAGAAGAAGAGGGAGAATTCTGAAATTCTGAATTTACTGCTGCAGTGGCATTATTGATTGGTGTTTCACAAATAGTACGATTAAAAGATTCATTGTCACAAGCAAATGAGGTTAATGGATGCAAATAATGAATTGGTGTTGTAACAGCAGTCATTAATCCCATCGATGAAGTAGCAGTAGTAGATGTGATATTTCTTTCATGATTTCTATCACCATTATCATTTTTGTCACAACGAACGCTTGTAGTTAAATGGTCTGAGTCGATTCTAAGTGCTGACGATGATGACGGAGTGTGTTTGGACAGATGAAATCGTTTCTTTGATACGGTCGATTCATTAAACGAAGTCAGAGCATCTTTCAATGAAATACTCAAGGGCTATAAGTAAAAGAAATTAAGGAAAATATTACTGATCAATAATAAGGCCTTATATGTATACCTTTACTGTTTATAAACATTAAAGGCTTTATATCATGCATATATATATATATATATATATATATATATATAACGTAATCCTCGTCTGAATATTCAGTAGTGGACCTTCTACCACGAAAATCGCTTATTGACTTAGAATATGCCGATGACATAGTTCTATTCGGTGAAGACGCTGACAAAATGCAGTCTTCTGACCACCCTAAGCAACAATGCAAGCATGTTCGGGATGCGGTTCTCCCTCTCGAAATACAAAATGTCGCTTCAAGATTGGGTTGCATCAGCATCTGAACTAGTGACAGGGAGTGCAGTAATTGGGCTTGTTTACCGCTTCACGTATCTCGGGAGTCTCATCAGTGCTGATGGCCTGGTGACTGACAAAATATCAGCACGGATACAGAAGGCTCGATCGACTTTTGCCAACTTGCGTCACTTATGGCACAGGAGAGGTATCCGTTTGCTGACTAAAGGACGAGTGTGCTGTGCAGTAGTTCACTCGGTCCTACTTTATGGCTGTGAAACATGGCCAGTGAGATTAGAAGATATTCGTAGGTTACTTGTTTTCGACCATAGGTATCTTCGAAGCATTGTTCATATATCCTGGGACAACCGAGTGAGCAATGCTGTTATCAGGAAACGGCCAAACCAAAACATAGCACAAGTCCATGAAGTCACTGACAAGTGGACTGAGTCATGTTGGTAGGTGTCAACTACCAGGTTGTGGCCCGCGAGATGCTAGTAATCGATGGTTAGAGACCCTGAATGACATGGCTCGAAATCGATTGCAATGGCGCAGGTGCATCCACTTTTTGTGTTTTCTGAAATTTCAATATTCAAAATTCCTCATCACCATTATCTTTTTTTTCTAAATTTGTTTCACTAAATTACATTTCTTGAATAATATCTTCGAAGCCTAGTGTCTCCGATTATTATTAATACTTATACTGTAGTGCGAGCTACTTATAAGTAGTATATGACGTGAGTGTCAACGTAATGTCTGGCAGCAGAAGATGGGGGAAGATCAAGAAAGGAAGAGTTAGAACACAATGGAATTCGTATGAAACGCATGAATAGCGACAATGGTTTGATGTTTTGCGACAGGAACAGTCCAGTTCGATATGATGAACTGATATTTTGCAAATGAACGATTTATGATATGGTTTTCCGATTTTAATGAGTAACTCTGTAATTTCCGTTAAATACAATCCGGTTGCCCCACCTGTGTTCTCGTTCACAACAATACTATTTCTACCACTATGTGATCTGAACTGACAATTGAATCTCTGTGCTAATGTGGTATGGCAACATGAACTGATGTACGTACGTATGAAGTTCTACGTTGTAACTGATTGACTGACGATCTAATTGTGAGAGCTAATGATGAACTAATGGGTTTCATACTAGTGGTTGAAAGTCGATCACTATAGTCACTGAGATACCAGTCCAATAGTTTTTCGCTTAGAAATTTTCGAGTTGCTTAAAATGATGTCAAAACAGCTCTATTGAATTCCAACGGATTGTTTTGGGTATTGATGTCTGTGTCAAGAGCTAATTTTCAGCAGTTTTACATTGAAAAATAAAATACAAACAGATAGTTAACTACGTCAACATGATTGAAATCATACATTTTTATAGCATTAAATGTTTCACTCAATCTAAATACAAAGCCTAACCTGTATTTCTTTCACGGGAGATTTCGTCAGTTCTGCTATGGAAAACGCCAATTGTTGAACTTCTTTTGACGTTTGTAGATCTAGAAAAACCCAGAAAATTAATGGTTTTAGGTTGGCATGATCATAGGCGTTTTAGTTCGACTATGAAGAAAAATTTTTCTCGGAAAGAAATAGCAATCAAAATGAAGCTGCCTGTTGAAGAATAACAATCGTTCAGCACTGTTCTTACATAGTTTCCGTGAGATGTTTGCTGCATCAGATCACAAAATAAAATAAATACAGTGAGATTATGTGATTAGATTTAAAGACTTCATCATTGAAATATGTCTGTTTGCAAACATTAACTTAGGACGAACAGTAACGAAAGAGGACTGAATTCATTGGATATCCACGGGGATTTTAACTCAACGAAAGAATTAGGCATGAAATATTGTAACAAAATAGTGCTAGTTGTCTGAAAATAGAAAACAACTTTAACACTTAAGGTTTACAAACCTTGAATTGAGAAATACACAGGTGCCGAATATACGATCGAAAGCTGAGTCACATAGAGTTTATGCTCTGAATGAGGATGAAATTGCAGTATGTAATACGAATCAGTAAGCAGCACAAGACTATCAAATAGGAATACCGACTGATAAAAACAAATTAAGCACTACGTTTCAGAGTTAGGTAAGGTGTCCAAATAAAAAAATCTAAGAGAGTAGTAAACACAAGGAAAGATTCACAGAGGAAATAAGATAATATACCTATAAAAGTAGACAAAGTGAATTAAATCATCGGAATCAGAGTAGGTATGGATAAGCAGCTTAATGAGACATACAAATACTAAGTTACAGCATACAATTGTCAAAAATGGTTCAAACTACTCGGTGTTACCAAGTAGTAAATATATCACCTGAAAAAAATCAAGTTAGAAGGAAATTTGGTTAGATGAAATTAACATTTTATAAGTTGCTTTGTAAATTTTACGTTTCAATTACCAATGTATTTACGAAACCATGATTACTTTGTATGCGTTTATTTGATAAATTAATTCAACAACTTACTTTGATCTAAATATTCACAATGATCAGTTTTACTGTCTTCAGTTTGTAAATCGATATTATTAACCGGATCTAATGTAGTTAACTGTTCAATATCTCCAGCTAACATTGTAATTTGACGCAGCATAGCTTTTGCTTCTTCACGTGTTTCCGGATATTCAAGACACTTATTCGCTGCTAAAGCTGCATCTTCATAATGTCCTTTACGTAAATGATAATTAGCTAAATATTTATAAGCAATAGCTAATTCCATTTGATCATTTACCTAAATGAAGAAATAAAAGTGAAATAAAAAATAAAATAAGTAAAATTTCACAGATTATCTATCTAAATTAGTAGTACATATATGATGATAATACTAAAATAATTAAATCCTGATTGTAAATGTGAAAAATCATAGTTCCTTACAGTCTGGTGTAAATGAAGAGTTCTATGAAATTATAAATTGAATTATGATTTATTTATCTGATTATTTTGAAAAAAAGATGCGCTTAATTCTAGACAGAAAGAAGTTTACGAAAGAATTATTCAGCTGAAAAGAAAAACAGTACAATAATTCTATCCTAAGTGTATTTGAAAATGAGAATTAAATTATTGAGATTATTCTTCATTAATTCTAATTAGTTATTGTACATAAATAAGGAGTTGGTGTGGATGGGCTATCACACTTTAATTCACCAATAGAGCTTTAATAGTTCTAATCAAATTTTATGCACTATCATATAAGTTGCGTATATTGCACAATGGTACGATTACAAAAAAAACTTTCTAATTAAATCAGATTTAGAACACGCAACTTACTGATTAGAAGTAATTTTTCATAGACCAGTTAAGTTTAGTATGGCTTACTTCCAAATAAGTCAAACATTTTATTGAACGATATACTAATTTATGAAACTAACTCGAAAAATACCTAGTTCTGCTCTACTGAGTATTATAGAAGCCATAAAAATAATTAGGAAGTTAATACCAAAACTTTATACTTAAAATGAGTTAATAGGTTAAGATTCCACAATCATATCACGATTGATGATGTAAATGAAGCAGATTAATTCCCTCCCTTCAAACTATGATTACAATTTACGAAGTTTAGGTAAAAAAATCCGTCCTTATTTTACTCATAAATAATTTGAAAGTCTATTTAGCTTATTGGGCAATAAAATTAGACACCAATGTCTGCGAGCTATTATATCAATAACCTATAAAACTATTCTAACCTTATTTAAATTTCGATCATGTATCTCAAATAATTTCTGAATATTGTGGTATCTATAATAGTATTTCTTAACTATTAATTTGCATGCAACTGAGGACAATGGTGACTACCACGTTATACGGTGAACTTGATTTCAAGTCATTTAAACTTGGGGCCACATTGTAACTTGGTTGATAGAGGTCAAACAGTACTAAGAAGGACTTGATATGGGTTACATTGTGGTCAATCACTTGTGGACGCGATGAATTCCTTGTATATACATATATACTAATCACCAATACAAGTAAAAACTTACACCGCTACGTTGACACAATTTTATAAATTCTGTATATGCTGCAGCAGCTTCTGCAACTTCACCACATTTTTCAAAACAGAGAGCTAATCGCATTAATGCTTCACCTTCTATATCACCAACACAATATGCACGCCAGTAACACTTTTTAGCTTCATCATATCGTTTAAGTCTGGCATAAATTTCTCCTAATGCTACAATTAAACGTGAATCTGTCGGCATAAGATACTGTGCCTCTCTGCATAGTTCATTAAAAAAAAGAGAAGAATTGGAGGAAAAGAAAAAGAAAAAAAAGGTAATGTATATAACATGTTGTGCTACTTAAGTTAAAATAATCACTATTGTTGGTTAATACAAGTGATTAAATAAAGACCAAGAAGAATTGATACATTCAGAAACTAAAAAAATTTAAGAAGTAATTAATTGGTATTTCTTAAGTGAAATCGTATAAAAATCAACAGGCAAGTGAATTTAAGCAGGCACGACAATCAACAACTTATGTGTGGTTACACAAACTTGATAAGAATAGAAAAGACCATAACATCAATAGGTGAAATCAACCAATCAGTCAATCAATAGCAACGTAGAACTTCGTACGTACGTACATCAGTTCATGCTGTCATACCACATTAGCACAGAGATGTAATTGACAATTCAAATCCAATAGTAGTAGAGGTAGTAAAGGTATTTGCAGAAGTCGGAGAGGTTAGGATTAGAATATATTATTAAAGAAGTAGAAACTAGTGAAACAGGCGGTGGTACATATGCAACACATGTGCCAACAACCTCAACTGATGAAGTTTCAATATTTCATCTTCTGATCCGCCATTCTTACCTAGCACCCATTTCCTAATGACAGCACTGCTCGCTCGGTTGTCCCAGGAAGCACGAGCGATGCTTCGAAGATGTCTATAATTGAATACTAATGACGTACGAATATCTTCTACTCTCACTGGCCATGTTTCACAGCCATAAAGTAGGACCGAGTGAACTACTGCACAGCACACTCGTCAATTAGTCAGCAAACGGATACCTCTCCTTTGCCATAAGTGACGCAAGTTGACAAAAGTCGATCGAGCCTTCTGTATTCGTGCTGATATTTCGTCAGTCACCAGGCCATCAGCACTGATGAGACTCCCGAGATACATGAAGCGGTAAACAAGCCCAATTACTGCACTCCCTGTCACTAGTTCAGATGCTGATGCAACCCAATCTTGAAGCGACATTTTGCATTTCGAGCGTAAGAACCGCATCCCGAACATGCTTGCATTGTTGCTTAGGGTGGTCAGAAGACTGCATTTTGTCAGCGTCTTCACCGAATAGAACTATGTCATCGGCATATTCTAAGTCAATAAGCGATTTTCGTGGTAGAAAGTCCACTACTGAATATTCAGATGAGGATAAGGTCATATCTAGGAGCATGTCTATGACAAAATCAAACAAGAATGGGGAAAGTGGACATCCCCGACGGACACCATTAGAAGTAGAGAATTCCGATGACAGTTCGTCACAGGCTCTCACTCGACCAGTGGTGTTTGAGTAGAGAGGTGGTATAAGGTTAATTTACTTCTTTGATACACCTTTCAATGACAGACATTGCCACAGAAACTCACGATCCACAGAGTCCAATGCCGCTCTAAGGTCTATGAAGACAACTGTTGTTGGACGCCTAAATGTGTATCTATGTTCCATGATCTGTCGTAGTGTAAATATGTGGCCTATACAACCACGTCCAGGTTTGAAACCAGCCTGGTTTTTTCTAGTCTGCTCTTCACGAGCTCTACTTAGGCGTATAAGGATTATCGTGGCTTACAATTTAGAAACTATATTAGTGTTAGGTTCGTCACTAGGTACACTTTAAGCTATTACGGGATCACCTTAGTCAATAAGCGCGAACAAGTCAATGAACCAGCGTCCAGGTAGGCTACCCTGATCCGAAAACGGCAAAAGAGAAGTCTTGATAGGCGTCGAAAGTGTATACTACAAACACCCAGCAAGCACAATGCAATCAAGCACACCACTCTCGTTTACTTATACATCATAGAAACGTCGCTGGGACAGTCACAAAAATAGCACACTAAAATACACAGCAGCCAATCACAGCCAAGGACTTTCCTGGTGGGATATGAAATCTCAAGGTCAACTGATCGGCCCATGCTCGCAAACGTGAAATTTGAAGTAAGGCATTTATCAAGCGAGTTCTAGGAATCTAACATCCCCAACACTCCTCCCCTTTTTAATAACGTGCGCTCCTGAGGTCGACTTGCATCTTGACTGTTGTTCACCGCTGTCTGGGAGGATACCTTCTGGAACGGAGAACAGCTTGCTGCTGAGTTTCTTTTCAAGGTGGGGCTGCCGGTAGGTTGAAGGTATCAAGTAGGATGTCAAGGAGAAGACTTTTTGCTCTTGATGGGCAATCCGGGGATAGCCGTTTGCGTATCTGATTTCGATGACGTGACCATTTATCACCTCCTACCTCTACTTCTTACATAACTCTCCCAACTCTCCTGACCAATCGCGCTTCTACGCAACGACCATGGTTCGTTCTGTAGTCACGGGCAAACATAGAGCATCCTACTTCGTACGTGGATTGCTTTCGCTGCTTTGTCTCTACTGATGTTGGTGCATTAGTCGGATGCATCAGGCTGCTGATCGTTTTCAGTCTTCTTCCCATCAGGATTTCTGCTGGCGAATTTCGCTCCGGTAACAACTCATTTGGTGTTATTCGATAGGCGTACAAGAAATTTCGTAACACGTTGGCTGGTGTACCCTTCCCTTTTGACTTAACCAATGCTCTTTTAAACGTATCCACAAACCTTTCCGCTTGCCCATTAGATTGCGGGTGGTATGGTGGCGAGCGTAAGTGTTTAATGGCTAGCCGTTGACAGAAAGTCCGGAATTGGGTAGAGGTAAATTAAGAGCCACTGTCAGATACGATCACATCTGGTATGCTATTTCGAGAGATTTCAGTGAGGAGCTGTATAGTCTTAGTTGTAGTGGGCGGCATAACGGGGCTGATTTCTGGCCATTTTGAAAAGGCGTCGACCACAATTAAATACATAGTTCCATTGATTGGACCAGCGAAGTCGATACGTATCCTGGACCAAGGATGATCAGGTTTGGGTCATGAAACCGGCGGAACTTTGGCATCCATCTTTGCCGCCTGCATTTTTCAACCAACGCTGTGACATGTTGATCCATTAGGGGCCAGCATGCATAACTCCTGGCTATGGACTTCATTCGTTTAACCCCTGGATGACCGAGATGGAACCATCTTGGATTTCGATATCATACCCCAAAAGCACCAAGACCCATCGCTGAAGACGATTTGCAGAATGGGCTGGAATGCCAGATTTAGAACCGAATACTGCTAACAGAGGCTTGTGATCTGTGAGGAGCGTGAGTCTCCGACCGTAGAGAGACTTGTAGTAACGGCGAACAGCAAACACAAGGGCAAGAGCCTCTTTTTCTATCTGGCTGTACTTCTTTTCTGCTAGGGTTAGTGTACGGGATGCATGCATAACGGCCTTTTCTAACGCGTCTGGAAACTGATGTGAAATAACAGCACCCAGGCAATATGCTGAAGCGTCGGCTGCTACGATGATCTGCATGGATGAAGTGTAGTGTGTTAATAACAATTACAAGCTTATTATGGTCACAAAAAAAGCATACTAAAATAAAGAGCAGCCAATCACAGCCAAGGACTTCCCTGGTGGGATATGAAGTCTCAAGGTAAACTGATCAGCCCATGCTCGCAAACGTGAAATTTGAAATAAGGCATTTATGAAGCGAGTTCTGGGGATCTGACATCCACAATAATTAGTTAGACTGATTCCCCTGTGATTGTCACAAGAGGACTTTTGTCCTTTCTTGTAGACTGGGATAATGAGGGATTGAGACATGTCAGATGGGATTACGTCCAGTTCCCAGATTCTACCTAAGATCTCAGTCAACCTAGCTGCTAAAACTGGATCACCATTCTTAAATATCTCAGGGGCTAATCTATCATGGCCCGCTGCCCGCCCTCGCTTCAGATTTCCTATAGCTTTCTCAACCTCATGAAGACTAGGGGCACTTAAGTCGATTTACCATTCAGGATGACTGGAGATCGTGGGTAACCGAAGAGTGGCTCGAGGCCAGTTGAACTGATCCCTAAAGTGTTCTGTCCATCGGTCCAGTCTCCTGGATTGAGAATGGATAATAAGACCATCCTTTTCCGAAATAGTCTCGCTCACATTCGGGTTCCTAATACTAGTTGAGATTTCGTCAGTCACCAGAGTATCAGCGCTGGTGAGATTTCCCATATAAGTGAAGCGGTCTACGCGTTCGACTATCTCACTCCCTATCACTAGTTCAGGTGCCGAAGCAACCCAATCTTGAAGCAACATTTTGCATTTCGAGGGTGAGAACCGCATCCTGAACATGCTCGCATTGTTGCTTATGGTAGTCAGAAGACTCTGCATTTTGTCAGCGTCTTCACCGAATGGAACTATGTCATCGGCATATTCTAGATCAGTAAGAGACTTTCCTGGTAGAAGGTCAACCGCTGAAAAATCTGACGAGCTTAATGTTGACTCTAAGAGGATGTCTACGACAAAGGTAAACAAGAATGAAGAGAGTGGACAGCCCTGACGGACACCACTTGATGTAGAGAATTCAGATGACAGTTCGCCATAAGCTCTCACTCGACCAGTAGTGTTCGAGTAGAGTGGTTGTATAAGGTTAATTTACTTCTTTGGTACACCTTTCAATGACAGACACTGCCACAAAATCTCACGATCCACTGAGTCAAATGCCGCTTTTAGGTCCACAAACACGACTATTGTCGGACGTCTAAATGTGTGTGTTCCAGGACCTGTCTTAAGGTGAAGATGTGGTCTATACAACCACGTCCAGGTCGAAAAGCAGCCTGGTTTTATCGAGTCTGCTCTTCACGAGCTCTAGTTAGGCGTCTAAGTATAATGGAGACTAACAATTTAGAAACTATATTAGTTAGACTTATTCCCCTGTGATTGTCACAAGAGGACTTTTGTCCTTTCTTGTAGACTGGGATAATGAGGGATTGAGACATGTCAGATGGGATTACGTCCAGTTCCCAGATTCTACCTAGGATCTCGATCAGTCTAACTGTTAAAACTGGACCACCATCTTTAAACATCTCAGGGGTAAGCCTATCAGGACCTGCTGCTATACTTCGCTTTAGATTTCCTATAGCTTTCTCAACTTCATGTAGACTGGGAGGACTGAAATCGATTTGCCATTCAGGAAGACTGGAGATCGTGGGTAACCGAAGAGTGGCTCGAGGCCAGTTGAACTGATCCCTAAAGTGTTCTGCCCATCGGTCCAGTCTCCTGGATTGAGAATGGATATTAAGACCATCCTTTTCCGAAATAGTCTCACTCACATTTGGGTTCCTAATACTAGTTTCCTTGATAGTCGCCTATCACCGCTGCCTTTTCCATCGCTATTGCTTTTGCTACTCAGCACTGTTCTCGATCATTGCGTAGGCTTTTTATCAGCCTGCGCTCCTCAACGTACTCAGAGCCAAGCGGGATGAGTTTCCGAGCATCATCAGTTCGGTAGCTGCTACTGAGATCCACGGCTTCTTCCTAGCCATATGGTTAACCTTACTAGCAGATATCACTGCCGTTTCCACAGAATTTTTGATATCATTCCAAAGTGCATCCAGATGGGGATCACTTACATGGTCACCTAACTATTTTTCTAATTCTTTCTGAAATATATTCAAAGGCCTGCTATCATTAGGTAGAACCCTAAGAGGTTTCCTTGATGTAACTTTCCTACTTTCAGGGCATGATGCGAATCTAAACATGTGTCGCAGAACGAGCTACAGTCCTCTATCGAACCTCTCCATCGGTGGCTGATGACAGTGTGATCTAGTTGGATCCAATGTTGAGACGACTTCGGGGGTCGCCAGGTCAAAAGATGATTTTCCTTATGCTTAAAATTAGTGTTTGCTCGAAATAGGCGATTATCTGAGCATAGCTGCAGCAGATGGTCGCCATTGTTTTCTGAGCCGCGACACCATAACATCCACTCAGGTGTCTTTCATTTTCACTTAGTCTACCTACTTGAGCATTGAAGCCACCAGCCATTATAAGTATATCAAAAGGCTTAACTTTTTGGAGGAGGTCCGAAAGCTTTCTGTAAAACTCATCTTTTACATCGTCTGAACTGCAGTCAGTGGGGGCATAGGTAGATACGAGGAAGATGCAACGGCGAGTGTCCCTATCCTTCCAAGTCCTTACTGTCTCGTTCGGTCGGACAGAGCACAGGCGACAATCTACTGGGATCCAGTCTAGGAGAGATAGATCTGCCCTACGACTTATTGCTATACCTTCACCAGCGAGACCCCTGGAAGCAGCATCAGGGATACCGGATACACGAAGGGTAAATCAAGTTGCTTCTTTATCTTGACATGGTGAGGTCAAGTGAATGATGCTACTCGGATCCTGTATGCGCGTTTCCGAGACGCAGCACACATCGATGGCGCGAGATTCTAAAGTCCTGTTGCCCTATTTGATACTGTGTCTGTGCATTAAATGCTCCAACATGTAGTCTAGAATGGGGTTTCAGGAGACCAGGAATAACTTTTCGTGAACTAGCATCGTTTGCATTAGCGGTGCAGTGAGATAAACGAATGTCAATAGAGGTAGTCGTGAAGATCAGAGAGATATTAGGGGGTGTAGGAAGGATTTGATTTTGACCAATTTAGTCTCACGTGCTGTTACGTGTTTGAGGGCGGCTGTCACTTCCCGACTGCCCACATCGTAGAAGGTGAAATGTTCTAAAACGTTTGATCTCACTAAAATTATGCATGATTTCTAGACTGTTTTTCTGATGCAAATTAGTAATCATTCAAATATATTAGTCATAAATAATAATTTGTATAACACACTGAAACTTACCTATAATAATAAAGTGAAAACGATGGTAAATTTAATACTTCATACATTTGCCCTAGACCATACCATGCACGATAATCGTGTCGATTATATACAAGTGCTTGTCTATAAGCATGTATTGCAGCATTTGTATTCCGAAGTTCCATAAATTCATGACCTAAGTCAAAAAACAAATGGTCTAGTGAAACAACTATGCCTAGAGTCTACACGATGACATTGAGACATTTTAAATGTAAATATTAAAATTTAACGATTAACATTTCATAAAATCATTAATTTACAGGGTCCAATAATAAGGCTTGATTTTATCTGTTATAGCTACTTTTGTAATTGTTGCTACTGAGTTGCACAATCGATATTTTCTGTCAAATGGGGAGACGGTTCACGCTATCAAATCGACACTGAAGATTGTACGAATATAAAGTGCAGATGTAAATGCACGAAGAGAATTTTTTTAATATCATGAATTTCAATATAATAATAATAATAGCTGATACAGAATAGATAGAATGTGGCTGGCAATAGAAAACAAGACGCATGTTTTGCCTTATATAGGACTCATCAGCTGGATAGGCCTGCGCCCGAGTTGACATCCACTTCAAGAATCGAACTCAGTACTGTTCACTTTAAGCACAATCGCACTTCCCACTCAGCTAAACCAAACCATTTCAAATCGAACTGGACATAATAATAGTAACATTAGTAACAGTAATAATAATAATAATAATAACAATAATAATATTTAATGAACCAACCAATTAATGTCCATACTAATGAATAAGCCGTTTTCAATCTAAGAGCACGCCGAAAATAAATAACCGCTTTTTCATGTTGTCCGCGTAATCCAAAAAAATTTCCGACAACACAACAAGTCTCTGCACGATATCGATCTAAATTGACACAATGATGTGCTAAATAAGCCAATTCAGTTGAATCTTCACATACAAATAAAACATTTGAGTAAGTATCAACGTTGTCTAATCGACAAGGACAAGCATCGAATAACTGTAACAGTATAAAGGAGAAAAGACTATGAAATGAATACAATAAAACTATTATTTAATATATATATATATATATATATATATATATATATATATATATATATATCGAGTGATTATGGAGATTATTAGAGTTTTCATAGTTTACATCATGAACTGATCTTTGTTCAACTTGGAAGAACTGTACCGCGGTTTCGTTCTAGCATGAAACTGATCAAACAGTTCCAGCGTTGGCACCATGTGGAAGTAGCTGAGACGACAACAATTGCAGTATATGTCCGAGCCACCAAAGTCTATGTTTAAAAATGGTAAAAGCTGTTGAATTATCGCCGTCATGCCCAAACAAACGTTGATGAACTTCTGCATTACTAACATGATGCTGTCACTGTATTTCGGTAATCCTTCGTAAACAATCATGATCGAACACAAAGAATCATTTAACATCCTTAACTCGGGGAAGCCAAGTTTCAAAAGTATAGGGCAAAATCGTTCTCACAAACACATTGAAAATCCAACGTTTCGCAACAAAACTAACATCGCGAAAACGCCAAAAATGGCCGCTCTGGCTTTCATCATACGTGGATCGATTTCATCACATAATTCACCACCAGCATTCACACAGCTACCCAGGCACGTGAACTTTTCAACTACTTCTATGTGCTCATTACCAAGATTCATTGTGGGTTCGGGGTCCTGGAAGTCAACTAACCAGATTGTTGATACCATCCTTAAAAAGGGCCGGAGATACATCACCTGAGTCTGGTAATTTGTGGCGCTCCAAGGGTAGTGTTCCTTATGGGCTTTCGCCTTGTTAGGTAGATCAGTTAACACTAGCCACCGGAAACAGAACAGTTTGGTCGATATCTCCGACACAGCACACCAGCTGAACTGTTCATCGAAAGACTGTCTAGCATCCAAGATATCGGGAGATATTGTTTGACGCGCCATCAGTCCCACAGACTACTTTACTGATACCAGACTTCTTGCTGACAGTGGCTCAGATGGATTTAAAGAGCTTCCAGAAGTTAGTGAATGTAGCTGCTTCTTCTAACTCGTCATCACGCTCCAACCACCAGGATTCTCGGTCTTTACGCAAACTCTGCACAATTTTACTAATTAGGGATCTACGTTTACCGAAAAACTTGCGGTTAGTTGGAGTATTTTAGCGTGCCTCAATAAATTTCAGGGAGCATGTAAAAGCTTAATGCGTATAATCAGGACATTTCATGAAACCACACGCGAATTCACTCGCCATAGACATGGATTCATGCAAATGCATCTGGTGCTGGTCTAGGGTTTCCGGTAGTTTGATAGCTACCCTTGAATGTAGCTCCGTTTGATAATGAGTTGCAACAGAAGTTGTAGTCAATTTGCTAACATCATTCTGTTTAGGATGTTTGTTGGCCACTGAAACGCAAGATAAAATTCCAGTAAAACAAGGGCATGATTACAGTCCAGATAACTGCTCCAAAAGGAGCGTCACTTGTGTGCACTTCCATGCCAGCAGTAGCTGGTCCCACTGTAATCAGTCTGAGTCCAGGCTTTTGATGCAGAGAGAGGATGCCAGGTAGCACGTTATCAATGACTGTACCGATAGTTAGTGCTAGCCAGAAACAGGTTGTAGTCTGTGCAAAGTTGCAACAGACGATTGCTGTTATCTGACCTGCGTCCAACAAGGAAAAGAAATATGATGTGCATCTACCTGTTTGAATTGTTTCTTAGCCAATTCCATAGCACGTAACTCATTGTATGCTAAACCAATTTCTGCTTGCAAGTTGTGACTTCTACTGAATCCACTTTCGGAAAGTTTCAACAGAATTTCTAAAGCTCTTTCACCTTCATGTAATTTCAGAAACACCTATTAATATTAAAGAATTGTAAAGCAACTGATGAACGAATAATAAAAACAACTTTGAGAATTCAATTTGATATTAACATTTGAAATACGAACAAATAGCACACATCACGGGCATAACAAAATCTAAAATCGGAAAAACAATATTTTGGTGGGTTGATGAGTTAGCTCAGCGTAATCCAGTGCTTGGAAGTAGCACTGTATGTAGTGCCCGTCACCAGAACTATATTTACTTTATATGTTAAGACAGTGCAGTAATTGGCTCTACAGTTTAAAGCACCGATTCCCACTAGAAACATGACTCACATATTTTACAAATTCATAAGCCAGTAGGTTCTATCACATATTTAGAAATTAACCTAGAAACGAACCGTTTCAAACACGTAGCATTCTAAAAAGACAATATTGTGGAATTTTAGGAAGTCATCAAGCTCTGACGACTATATTTCGAAACACTATGGGAAGTTGTTTCGAAAAATGAAACAGCACTCTAAGATTTTATACACAGGACCAAGTGTTTCAAATATGTTACACAAAATATCTTTAGTTCCTAGGTAATAGGAAATAAAGTTGCCTAAATTCCAAATAAAAGTAATTAGTGTACTCAATAGAAGAAAGGCCATTAACGTTAACGAAAAGAGCCGAAAGAAGTACAAAATGTTTCTAACCTTAGCCTCAAAAAAATATCTCATCCAACATTCATCATCTGTGGGAAGATTTAAACAATTCATTTTCTCTTTATTCTCTATAAGATCAACCAATTCATACCATGCAGGCCAAAGATAAAAATTTAAATTAATCGCTTGAACTAACAATGATGCAGCGGTTTCTTTTATTCCCAATCGAAGACAAATTAGAGAATGAACATAAAGTAGAAACGAATCACCAATTTTATTAGCTGTTCTCAGTTCATTCGATAAGTTAATTTTATTTGTATATGGTTCTATTTCACATTTTATCGATAAAAGCTCTTTATTACATTTAGCATTAGATATGCATGATGATTTAGTTTCTTCATCTTGTTTTAAAACAAGTCGTGATTCCACTGAGTCATTAGCTCGACGTTTTTCACATGCCATATAACGTGAGTATATATACAGGAAATAATATACATGACCATACTTATTAATGAAAATTTTCGGATTATCATGAATTGGTTTTTCAAAATTATGTGATAATATTTCAGCACAATGATCATACTCTTGAGTATCAAAACAACTACGAGCAAGTAGAAATGTGGTTAATTTATCTGGTGGAATACTTTGGTAGATATTGCTTGATGAAAAAACGCTATCAGGATTAGATATGATGGGAAGATTTAGAGACCATAGTAAATCTGTAAGCCATTTACAGCTGTGACGAAGTCCTCGAATTTGACATTCGAAAAATGATTGTAATATGTTTCCTTGAACTGTGCATAAAGAAATTGGAAATCCAACAACCATATTTCGATCCATGTTATATGATAAAAAATAATTTTATCTAGAGAATTTGAGGAAAGATGATAAACTTATTAAAGTCGTTATGCTATGTGCATGAATATATATTGTTACCAATGACTATAGTTGGGGTTGCTGGGGTCGTTATTACCAAACTTACGACCAAACAGCAAACCTATTTAAAAACAACAAAGACGCTGTGCAAAGATGTGATGGCTCATGTTGTCAGATACTTTCTAATCACATCAAATATTAGACAAAATGATATAAAAATGCCAAACAAAATAATGGTATGGGTAGGTGAGACAAAATATAGAGACGTTGTCTGGGACAGTACTTGTCTGCACATGAAAGCTGTGATAATTCAAAGTAATGTAAAGAGGTAATAACAAGTAGTGGAGAACTAGGAAGCGAAGAATGTAGCAATTAAAAATAAAGAAAGAAATATATAGTAAATTAGGATGTTTGAGACTAAGATTATACAATATATTCATCTGTATCCATGAGAAATATCTCTGACCATATAAACCAACCCCCCAAGGTTTCTTTCGCAACTCAGCAGTGGTTTCATAATCTGATGTTAAGCCATATCATTTTTAGACACATCATCACGAGCAACGTAAGGAGATTCCTTTCAGTTGCAACCAGCGACTAACAGTAGGTTAAAACGCCATTCTTTCTATCAGGATCCTGGGGCCCATGTGCGTTGCTGGCTTGTAATCAGGGTTTTTTCATTACATTTGGTGTCTACTAGGACCAACATCTGTTTGAAATAATAAAATGCTAGACTGATAGGTCACGAAGTATAATCTAAAATCTGAAAACATTTTTTACATACACCATTTTTTTCTAGACTAAAGTACATCCTCATATCTTAGGCTTGCAATAATTCAGCTCAACAAGTAATATACCCAAACTTTTCAGCAACCTAAATAGCTTATTGACAGAATATATGAAAATACATGCTGAGTTTTGATGGGACTATAACTTGTGGACGACCTCCGAGCGTTGTCAAAATCACCTACAGAATCTTAACCTGTTTGCTGCGGTTGAAAGTGAGTAGTACTGGTTGTGAATTCATATTCACCAAGAAATTTTTGGAGCTGCCTGCGATGAGGTGCTGACGATGTTGAAAAGGTTTAACTACACAGCTGAGGTGCCGTAGCACAACTAGAAAGACTAATCAGAACTACATACATTGCTTAGTTTCTAATTAGTTTCGGTGAAAAGTAGATATGTAGGGGAACATAAGTGTCAAGTTCGAGAGATCTTCCCTAAGAAGAGAAAATTAGGTGAAGAGCCTCACTATTCACCCAGTGGTCTGGGTAAAAAGACAATTTTATACAATACTGAATATTTTCACACCGAGTTTGATGAAAGATTCCTCCTCGAATTCGCCTTTATTTCCTCTCAGGTTTGCTTGGGACATTTTCAGCCCACTACTTTTAATCGTAGTTTGCTTTCTCAATGTTATAATTTTTTAAACCTACTTGGCAGTTCTAAGGCATTTCTCGAATGGAACAATTATTGGTGAGGCACTGTTTTTGACATAGATCTGAACATGCGCTTATAAGACTAATTAAAGTCTGAATAATGTGGTAGTTACGTTAGTAAAAATGTTATAAACAAACTGTATAGCAATAAAAAAACGAAAACAGACAACCTCACAGCGACAAGCCCAAAGGTCACAACCTTGAGAGTTTAGATTACCCACCTCTTCAAACTATTAGCTAATCACCGGTGTAATATCTATTTGGAGATCATGACTGATTGGCATTTAACCCCTTTGATAATTCGCTTCAGTCCTAATAAAAATGAGAAAATATTGTGTATGCATAGTTCCAAAATAATATCAGCTAATTTCTCTTGTTTAAACTGCTACATGGCATGTACCTGATATGTTTCCGTTTCAGGTTGGAAAAGGCGGAAGGCTATGTGACCAATGTTGGTCTTAGGTGTTGATTTGTCAGCTGATACTAATTGCTTTTGAATGAATCGGCAGGCGAAGATTCAGACGCTTGTGAGTAAGATAAGTTTCGTATGCTCATTATGAGATTGCGAAGTCACTAGTTAGCTGATAAATAATTCATTCCTCATTTGCAAACATTTTCACTGATTGTTCTTATAAATTCTGTTCTGGAATATTGGAAAAATTAGGAGATATCAGACGTAAATTTATCACTCACCACTTCTAATAGCTCAATTTTCTTATTTCGGAAGCGATTGGCGATTCGCACTGTACACCTGAACATTATTTTCTCACTAATAATTTGGATGAAAATGAGATTGCCATAGATTATACCTATTAGGAAATTTCTGATCTCACTTAAGGTTCATCAGTAGATAAATCAGGGTAGTTCATGGAATAAACAACAAACCGACAAAATAATATGACTTAGGACTTATAAGAAATGATAATGAAACTAGTAAAAAACAGTTTACAAAGACCAGAACATTTTTAGTGAATGTTCATACTGTGATGAATAGCATATAAGTTATTCGTATATCTTTTGTGATGCTTAATGCTTCAAGTTTTGTAAAATCGAGTATATCAAGTCGACGTGTATGTCTGCTTGATCATTTCACCACCAATGATGATAAATGAGGTCATTCGGATCTGAATAAAATCAATGATTCTAATAATCACATACTCTCCCTATTTACAACTCTGAGTAATTGATTTCATGTTCGAAAACGATTATATTTGATTGATGGTCTTTTTCATGATTTTATGAAATGAAGTTTTACAGGGCGGAAATCACAGACCGTACACAACAGAAACAATGACAAAATTAAGTAAAAATCTTTTGCCAGAAGAAGTCGTTATTTGCAGTGTTATTACAGTAAATAATATCAAGAAGCTGATCCTCAACAATCCATAATAGGTCTGCCAAAGAATATGATTAAATCTATGTATACATTTCAGTCACAACAAATACCTAGGTGAATTCATTCCGATTATCCTGCTTATTCTTTGACTACTAAGGTTTCACGGACTATGATTCCGGTCTTACTTCAAGTAAGAATCTGAGGTGAAGCAGTGAAGCAGTTCAAAAGACGTACACGGTACTACGAAGGTTTAGGGGGTGGCGGATCTGGTGTTTATAAGCAACAGCGATTCCTATGTAAACTATCGGTTCGCGCCTGATTTTAATCCTGAATACTATACAGTTGACTGTGTTCTCAGTGTCCTTTTTCATTTCACTAGTGGTTTAAACATGAATGTCAGATTAGAATGCAAAATATGAGTACTACGGAACATCACAGAAGTATCATAATTTTTGTCGAAAGACAACTTCCATTTATACTTCAGATTCTCCGAACCTAGTTCTGACAGTCATGTTCACGTACTATAAACTTACAAAGCACGCGATCTTGAACGCTGAAACTTGAGTAGGTTGTACGGCAGCGTCGAAACTTAAATACTATAAGTTTGTGAGCGTAATCACAGACTGTTTACCGTCAGTATCAACGACAAACCATGGAATAACCAAAAATACGTAGAAAATACAGTAGAGAATGAGAACACAGGTAGGGCAACCGAATTGTATTTAACGAAAATTACAGAGTTACTCAGTAAAATCGGAAAACCATATCGTAAATCGTTCATTTGCAAAAGATCAGTTCATCCTATGGAACTGGACTGTTCCTGTTGCCAAACATCAATCCATTGTCACTATTCATGCGTTTCATACAAATTCCATTGTTTTCTAACTCTTCCCTTCTTGATCTTCCCCCCATATTATGCTACCAGACTTTACGTTGACACTCACGTTATATACTACTTATAAGTAGTTCGCACCACAGCACCACAATACCTGTCAAAACTGTGGTCAAAGGTAGTACATGATCATCAGGAACAGCCAAATTAAACGGATCCGATTTACAAAGTTTGTCTTTACTAGTGATCAGATGAATAGTTATCCTACAGACCAATCTGCCATACTTAAAGCTGTAGAATTTAGCTTTAAGGAATTAGTAGCGCACTTATCTATGGTACTAGAATGACAGACAAATGTAGGCATACCATGGTGTCGCTAACTAATCTACCACATCTTACGCGTCTGTACTGACTCACTCAATTTGTTTCGCAGTACTCTCAAGAGGTCATATGATGTGCGACTAAGATGATATATTAATCATGGAAAAATGAATTTACATCAGATGACTCTGTAATTATTGGGTTTTCCTGACATCGCTATTTTCGACTTTCTATATGTGTTCAAAGCCTATAAGAGTCCCCTCAGTCATTGCATAGTTAGGTTTGAGGATTTGTTAGTCATGATTCCATGTCACCATAGAGCATTTAGCTTAGTGAAAGAAACATTAGTAACCTGAATGTAATTTGCCACGAGATGAAAATTGAAAATACATCTACTCAACTTTGTCAACTCTTTTGTAAATGGTTATGAACACCAATTTTGTGAATCAGAACAACAAATATCAGAGGACAATGCTGTTGTGAATTAGAAATTCATCAGGCTTTGCTCTGATAGGCAACAGTATTCGTACGGATACATGAAATTAATAAAACAATCAACGTAGTTTATTAGTCAGTGATATAAGTCCAACAAAAGTTGAAAACTGATAGTTCGGTGACAGGTGTACTGACTGTGATAAGAACAGTAAGTGCCCAACTTAATGGTACACATTAAAGAGTGAGTCAAAGGGCCTCAAAAATAAACGCTGCAATAACATTCATTAGAATCAATGAAAGATAATAAGTAATTAAACAAAATCGTCTGTTAGAGCCAGTTGACCTGGGAAGACATAAAGAATTCACAAATTTCTTATTGACACAAATACTTAGATTGATAGCTGGAATCCCCATAGCTTCTGGTCTATATTAGAGATGAGATCGAACACGATGCGGAGACTATAAGGTATACGGTGAATTACCTTGAATTATTTATTCCCATCCACTGTACGGCCGCCATCGATCGAGAGTGGTAGAACTAAGCTGTTTTGATGACGCTCTTCACAAACCACAAATGGTGTTCACGCTGTTATTTAGGAATGAATATCGCTATTATTACTAGTAGTAGCAGAGTCTGAATCCATTTAAATCTTCTCCGATGTGTGGGAAATAGACAATTCAAATTTAGTTCCATGTGAACAGCGATGTAACTTGAAGGCTGAAACTTTGACAACCGATGTGTTTGTTGTAGTGTACTTTTGAAGAAACGGCAAGGCTACGAACAAAAATACAATACACAGTATCAGTTGTTCTGCCACCTGAATAAAATATTGTAAACTCAAATAAACTTTCCTCAAATGTGTTGCCATATCCATCCATAAATTCGAACGCATTAACTGATAGCTTCTGTAAAGTACTGGCACAACTGAAAGCGTGATTCCAGAATACCAAATGATTAAAATCCTCATCCTGTGATGGAAAATGAATAGTCCCTAGAATAGTATATCAGTCCTTTTGTTGGTATTATGATAATTTGGCATGTATTGTGACATTGAGTGGAGTGGGCACTGTAAGATGCATTTTGGAAGGCTTTGTTTGTGAAAATCCCTCCATATATACATTTGTAATACGTCCTTATTGATCTCTTCAGTTCTACATTTTGTTAATCAGTTAAATTTCACTTTGAGATGATAACACTTTTGTTTTATTACAGCTTCTATTTTTTGTGCCTTTAATGAGTTTCTATGTTTCTTACGCTTGTTCAAAGTGTGCGATTTGGATTGGAAATTGGAGCACTCTTCCAGAACTGGAAACACTCTATGTTATAAGGGGGATAGAATATCATTTATTTGTGGGAATTGTGGGAATAATATTGTTTAGATAACGGTCTTTATTTATATTTATGAGTATCTTCTTATTTACGTATTAACAGTTTAACTAATTTTTATTTCCCCAATTCATTAACATCCAAACACCTTGCCTGCTTACCAACTTATCGCTTTACTCATTAATTTTTAACATTATTTCAACTCTTTTTTTCTCCTTCTCCTCGTTCCAGCTCCCTGTCCTTCCTATTTCCAAACTACCTATTGACTGACTCATCTTACAAATTATACCATTCGTTTACTTAAAATCAGTGTGATATGCTATGTGGATATATTATCTGGCAAAGTTGTCTGGATTGCTTGTAATATGGAGCTAGTAGAGAATGTTAATTCCGATAAGGTGTACAAAAAAAAATTGAGAGTAGACTAGAGACCATTATTTACAATCAACCATTAAACGTAAGAGAGCCTAACATCACAAAAGGAGGGAGGGTGGAGTTTCTGACCAGCATTCATGACGGTGGGGCGATAACCTCAATCTACCCATGTCTGTGTGGCAGAACATTTTGTTTGCTTACGGCTCCTTACGATATGGCAGGATGTAACAAATCAGTGATATTGATGTTACTTTTCCTTGTTAACCTCGTCTACAACCCATGTCTGTAACCTTGCACTGGTTTTTACTTCCTACCGAGAAATCCTATTACAAGCTGGTCTGGATAACTATACTAAAAAAGAGCTCATTCATAATTTCTTGAGCTGCAGAGTTAAAAATAAAAAGAATATATAAAACAAAAAATTATATCACTGAGCCTCTTTATTATATTTTGTAAATCAACATTATTAATAACAACTTGGTACTTCTGAATTTCCTCTGTTCTTTCGACTAACTTCCCAATAGTTATCTCACCAATAATTTGTCTTCATTAACCTACATAAGTGCAGGTGTACAGTAATGATATT